GAGGAGGAGGAGGGGGAGGAGGAGGAGGAGGAGGAGGAGGAGGAGGAGGAGGAGGAGGAGCGCCGCCACCGCTGCCGCCGCCACCACATAGTGGTTTCCTGGATGCGTGGGTCGGAAGGGCTCTGGCCCCCACGTCGCCGCTGTCAAAGCCTCCCAGAGCGACAATCGGCAGAGGGAACCCGCAACGGCCTGAGCGCCGCAGTGGCCAGTACCCACGGAACCCGTGCAGCAACCACTCAGAGAGAGGATGTTTACGATGGTTCGCGAAGAAGAAAGCACATCAACATAAATGTTTGGCCCTCCGCGCGGCTCCGCGCGGAGCGCCAAAAGTTTATGTTTATGTGGCCTTCTCTTCTTCCAGCTTCCACTTGTCACCGAGTCGTCGCCTCCATCCACTGTGGTGCCGTGGGGGTGATCCTGGGGCGGCCTTGCGGTCCCTGCCGATGGCCATTCCAAGGAGCCTCGCAGCGGCAGCGGGTGGCGGTGCGAGAGCCTGCTCCTAGCTTATGGTGCTGGTTTGTAAGATCGCTCATTGGCGACAGGTCACTCGTGCAGGTCATCAGAAGACGACGCATGGCGCCGCGTAGTGCCTACATTCGTCGCGGCCGACCCGGTGACCCCGAGCAGCGTGTTCAGGAACAGCTGCAGTAGGGTGTAGGACGGTCGCCGATGCGGTCCCTGCTGTTCCCCCTGCCCCTCTTTCTCTTGTACATCACACTCGAGGAATGGAGAAGGTGGCATCTCTGCCTTGGTGGAAGGCCACGGAAGGGCGGCGGAAGCTGGCGGACGCAAAACGAGGGCGGCTACTTCGGCGGAAGTTGACGGATGTAAAAGTTCTTCCCAAGAGTTGATCACATATTTTGGTTCAGAGGTTCCAGAACAGTCCATCCTGGGTGGCAGTAGCTTGCTACTGGTGTCGTGGGCTCCGCCCGTTCGATCTGGCTGGAGGTCCTCATCTTGGGGGGTCATCGCTCGAGTCTGCGCGCGGTCGTTGCCAAACGCAGTGGTATTGGTTCGCTTTGTCCTCTGTGTTGATGACTTTGTCAAACTTGGTAGATGGGCCTGGAAAAGCTTGAGCACTGGATTTATGATGTTCCAACCTACTTTAGCCTTGATCACCCGAAAAGAATCTCGAGCACCAGAAAAAAAAAAAACGAAACGCGAGGGTTTTCGAGTGTCGGGCCCTGGGAAACACTCGTCCGACACTTTTTCGACACTCTTACGACACTTTTCTGGGTGCTCGAAATTATGTTTGGGATGTGTTCCTTTTGTACGATGGGAGCAACATAACACTGGATGTGGTTTGTCGCAGCGGTGCCGCTCGCAGGATGCTGGTGCTGCCGCTGCGAAGGCGGCGACCCCAGGTGGCGAAGCCTCCGAGTCTGCGCATGCTTGGGCTCCTCTCTCGTTCTCTTTCTCTATCCCTCGTCCTCTCGGCTCGAGCCAAACGTTGTGTTCGGGACGTCGTGGACCGGTTTCGTTCTGACTTCGTTTCCGCAGCAGTGGCAGAACGATGACAGAACGAAGGACATCGAGAACACAACGAAAACGACAAATACTGCTTAGCTCGGGCCGTGTGTTTGGGCCTCTCTCATTCTCTTTCTCTATCCCTCGTCCTCTCGGCTCGAGCTAAACGTGCTGTTCGGGACGTCGTGGACCGTTTTCGTTCTGACTTCGTTTTCGCAGCAGTGGCAGAACGATGACAGAACGAAGGACATCGAGAACACAACGAAAACGACAAATACTGCTTAGCTCGGGCCGTGTGTTTGGGCCTCTCTCATTCTCTTTCTCTATCCCTCGTCCTCTCGGCTCGAGCCAAACGTTGTGTTCGGGACGTCGTGGACCGTTTTCGTTCTGACGTCGTTTTCGCAGCAGTGGCAGAACGATGACAGAACGAAGGACATCGAGAACACAACGAAAACGACAAATACTGCTTAGCTCGGGCCGTGTGTTTGGGCCTCTCTCATTCTCTTTCTCTATCCCTCGTCCTCTCGGCTCGAGCTAAACGTGCTGTTCGGGACGTCGTGGACCGTTTTCGTTCTGACTTCGTTTTCGCAGCAGTGGCAGAACGATGACAGAACGAAGGACATCGAGAACACAACGAAAACGACAAATACTGCTTAGCTCGGGCCGTGTGTTTGGGCCTTTCTCATTCTCTGTCTCTATCCCTCGTCCTCTCGGCTCGAGCTAAACGTTGTGTTGGGGACTTCGTGGACCGTTTTCGTTCTGACTTCGTATCACAGCAAAGGCAGAACGATGACAGAACGAAGGACATCGAGAACACAACGAAAACGACAAATACTGCTTAGCTCGGGCCGTGTGCTTGGGCCTCTCTCATTCTCGTTCTCTATCCCTCGTCCTCTCGGCTCGAGCTAAACGTTGTGTTGGGGACTTCGTGCACCTTTTTCGTTCTGACTTCGTATCACAGCAAAGGCAGAACGATGACAGAGCGAAGGAGCACGAGAACACAACGAAAACGAAAAATACTGCTCAGCTCGAGCCCTGTGCTTGGGCCTCTCTCGTCCTCTTTCTCTCTGCCTCGTCCTCTCGCTGCGTCTCGTCTGAAGGGCTGCGCCCCTTGGCCGCCGGCCCCCTCCCCCCTGGGCTGAGCCACGTACCGTGGCCACCGTGGTGCAGCTTTTGGGGGCCATCGTGAGGCCCTGTCAGGGCCATCTTGGGCCTCTGGGGCCATCTTGGGCAGACTCGGGGCTGTCTCGAGGCCGCTGGGGCCTATCTTGTGGGCGTCTGGTGGCCATCGTGGGGGCCCTGTTGGGCCACGCTTGGCAAGTGGGGCGGCATCCTGTGGCCTATTTTGGGCTACCTCAGGGCCGTCTTGGGCAGGCTCGTGGGCTCTGGGGGCCGTCCCGAAGCGATAGTTGGACATCCTGGGAGCCGAACGTGGCGCAGGCAAAGACGTTGAACACACTATGGCTGTTCAGTGTGTTTTGCCGTCTCGGGGACGTGTAGGGGCCCTCCTTGGCCATCTTACCAGCATGTTTCAGGAGGGGAACACAGACACAGACACAATTAATCGTCGATTCCCCAGAAAATATTGGACATTATGGGAAGTGTGGGGGGGAAGACAGAATCCCAGAACGTATGGGGAATCCTGTTATTTGTGTGTATTCATTTGTGTGTCCAAGGGCCCCTTCACTATGGTTGTTCAATGTGCTTTGCCGTCTCGGGAACGTCTCGGGGCCCTCCTTGGCCATCTTGCAAGCATGTTGGGGCCATCTTTGGCTGCCTTGTCTCCGAGGCCCGTTCGGTTCTCCTGGCCGTGCGGTGCGTCCACGGGGAATCTCGGGGCAACCGAGATGGGCTATGAATATGAGGGGCCCAGGGTGTTTTTTTTGTGACGCCCCTGCCCCCCTGGCACGTAGACAGTAGACTGGAGACATGACAGGATAGACACGAGACATCAGACAAGAGACCAGCCCAGTGGACAATTTCTCGGCCAGGCACCCCGAGGGGGGCCCAAGCGGATATCTCTCCACCTCTTCCTTTTGTTCGTGGTCTCTCTCTCTCTCTCGTTTCTCTGTCTCCCTCTGTCTCTCTGAGTCTCTCTCTCTCTCTGTCTCTCTCTCTCTCTCTCGCTCTCTCTCTCTCTCTTCATTCATCCGTCCCTCTCTGTTTCTGCCTGCCTGCTTTCTTGTGTGTATCTCTACACATGCCCATGCAGTTTGCGATGTCTCTTCGTGCACGGGAGATATGTCTATGTATATTTAGATATATGTGTATACGCGCGTATACAGACGTAGGGACCTTTTTTCAATCTGTATGTCTCAAGGCAACACTGCTTCATAACACATGTATACTTGCATCACCCTCTCTCTATCTCTCTGCTGTTTTTGCTGTTATTTGTATTGTTTGTTTGTCCTCTCTCTATATGTATATATGTATTCATGTATAACCAGCGTTCCAGGCCCGCTCCAACATGCATGTGATGTCCTCCAAGACGGCCAAGACGGCAGAGATGCCTCTAACACCGCCAAGAAGCCCCCAAGACGCCCAAGAGGCCCCCAGGAGGCCTCCCAAGAGAACCCCAAGAGGCGAACATGGCCCCATTCCTTTCGGAAGGCGTAAATTCTTCCCATGTTCGCCTCTTGGGATTTCACAGCGTCCAAGCCAGCCCGATAGGCCCCAAATCTTGTCCCAAGACGGCTCCCAAGAGGGCTACACGAGGGCACAAGAAGGCCCCGAGACGGCCGAAGACGGCCCCAGGACGCCCCAAGAAGGGGTCCAGAGGGGGTCCCCGACCAGACGTTTGACGCTCTCCGCCCCTGGAAGTCCCCAGGAGTCGCCAGGAGGCCCCCAAAAGGCCCTGCAAGAGACCCCACGGGGTCTAGTGACCACAAGGCTGCCCTAAGAGGCCCCCAAAGAGCCCCCAAGAAGCCTCACAACACACACAGACACGCACACACACAACACAAAAACACACACACACAACACACAAACACACACACACTAACACACCCACACCCACGCCCACGCCCACGCCCACACGCCCACACGCCCACACGCACACACGCACACACGCACACGCACACGCACACGCACACACGCACACACGCACACACGCACACACGCACACACGCACACACGCACACACGCACACACGCACACACGCACACACGCACACACACACACGCACACACGCACACACGCACACACGCACACACGCACACACGCACACACGCACACACGCACACACGCACACACGCACACACGCACACACGCACACACGCACACACGCACACACGCACACACGCACACACGCACACACGCACACACGCACACACGCACACACGCACACACACACACACGCACACACGCACACACGCACACACGCACACACGCGCACACGCGCACACGCGCACACGCGCACACGCGCACACGCGCACACGCGCACACGCGCACACGCGCACACGCGCACACGCGCACACGCGCACACGCACACGCACACACGCACACACGCACGCACCGCACACGCACACGCACACGCACACGCACGCGCGCGCGCACGCACGCACGATCGTACGAAGACGCGCAAGCACGCACGCACGCACGCACACACACACACACACACACACACACGTTCCACACAACACAACACACACACACATACACACACACACGCACACGCACACGCACACGCCACACGCACACGCACACGCACACGCACACGCACACGCACACGCACACGCACTGCACGCGCACGCGCACGCACGCACGCACGTACACATACACACATACACACAAACACGCACTTGCACACGCACACGCACACACACACGCACACAGACACACGCACACACACACACACACATTCACACACACACGCACACACGCACACGCACACGCACACGCACACTCGCACGCGCACGCAAGCACACTCACACACAAACACACACATGCACACACGCACACACGCACACGCAGACACACAGACACGCACACGCAGACACACAGACACGCACACAAACACAAACAAACACACACACACGCTTTGTCCAACAAGGGCCAGGGCGCACACACGCATAAATACATACATACATACACACACGCGCACACACACACACACCGTCGAAAGGGTATCAGGGTTCTTCTCCGTTTCCCCTTTCCCCTGAAGATGACCTCCTCCTTCCGCTTCGGGCTGGTCCCTTTTGGGTGCTCGCTCAGCCCTTTTACCCGCCTCGCGCGGACGCATGAGACAGACTTCCCAAAACACCCTTCCGCCCCTCTGGGGTGACCATATAGAGCTTCTTCGGTACCCTGTGGAGGGAGCCCCAGGGGAACTCTATGTCATGGGCTTCCAAGCTAAGGAACCCTCATAACCTCCCGATGGCGCCCACACGGCCCCCTAGATGCGCCCAAAGAACTGTGCGTGTCAGCTTTTTCAAAGGCTGGGGCGTGCTGGAACCTGAGCGCGCGCGAAGCGCGCGCGTGGTTCGAGTACATATACGTATATAATTATCTACCTCTCCGCTTAGCCCAATGTGCACTGGGATGCTCAGTGGAGTCCACGGGGTCAGAAAGGGAGGAGGAGCAGGAGGAGGAGCGTGAGAAGATGGAGAGGGACGGAGGAAGGACGAACTACACACGTGATGGAAGGGAGGCGATTGCGGAAGCAGGAGGTAGTGGGGTCTCAATTGAACCATTCACAGCGCACTCCTCGGATGGATCTTATCTCCGCTCTCAGGCCCAAGGCCCAGCATTGTCAGGGGATATGGGTGGGATAGAGGGGCCAGTCGGGATGAGGAGGAGCAGGAAGAGGACGAGAGTAATAGGACGAGGAGGAGAGTGGAGGATGTGGAGGACGACGGCGAGGGGAAGGTCGTGGACGAGAGGAGGAGGAGGAGGAGGAGGAGGAGGAGGAGGAGCGGGGGAACGGGGAGGAAGAGGAAACGGAGGCGCAGCAGCTCGGGAGGGAGGAAGCCGAGCACGAGGACGAGGAGGAGGCCGGGAGCGCGCAAAGGGGCAGGGCGAGACCGGGCGGACGACGAGGAGCACGGTGCGGTGCAGCCGCGGGACGAGCGCGCGGGGCGCAGAGATGGCGCGGGACCCCGCAGGCGGCGGTGGCGAGCTGCGGAGCGGCATGGCGGTGGAGCTCGTCGGCTTCGCGTCCGCGGCCATGAACGGCGCCAGAGGCGCGCCCCGGCGCACGCGGCCCCCGTGGCGGGGGCTCCCCGCCCCGCGTGCGCGTGGGCAGGGGGCGTCCGTCGGGGGTGCAGGGCGCCGTGGTTGCGGGGATCGGTGGCCACCTGCGAGCCCTACCCCCGCCCCCCACGGTTCCCACGGGGGATCGGTGGCCACATGCGAGCCCTACCCCTGCCCCCCACGATTCCCAAGGGGGGGGGGGGCGGGGTTCCCTTCGTTCGGGAGCTCCCGAGCGACGCGAACCCCGCCCTCCCCCTCAGAAATCGTGGGGGGTGGGGGTAGGGTTCGCATGCGGCCCCCTAGCGGTGGGGGCGTCCAGCGGGGTGGCAGGGCGCCGTGGTTGCTGGGAGCCGCTGACCATGACTCTGTTTTTGATCGGGTGTGGCCAGGACCCCGGGTGAGGGACCCGGTGAGTGGCAGGGCCCCGGAGCCGTCGAGTTGGTCAGAATCACTAAACCAGGTTCGCCATGGCTGGTGTTTTCTCGGGTGACCGCAGTTCCGGTTGGTGGAAATGTGACGGGGGGGCGCCCCCGGTACAGATCACTAAACCCAGTTCCACTAAACCCAGTTCTACCAACGCCCGATTTAAGTCGGGCCTGTCCCTCTACAGGGGGAATTTGCAGCAACAGTCGTCAAAACATAGTCTGGGTACTATTTTGTTGCATGTTTGGGAGCATTCTTTGCGCATGTTTTGACCAGTTGTACTGTTCGCCCGAGATCCCCCTGTTGGGGGACACGCCCGACTTGACTCTATTTCTCATGGCCTCCCTGCGCCTAGTGTCCCCGGTTCTGGCGGAACTGGCTGACGCGGCGTAACCCCTTTCGACCATGTCGGTGATTGGCAATCGTCCGCCTAAGTATACATGTAACGGCGCACCGGGCCGGGGGGCCCCCCGGCCCTCCGACCACAAATGCAAGGCCCGGGGGCCCAGGAGGGCCCCAAGAGCGGCCCGAGAAGAGCCAACGCTAGCAATCACGACCTCATTGAGCGAAGGTGCTGCCCGAAGATGCTCTTAGATGGCCCCGAGAGGCCCATGGGACGCTCCAAGGGGCCTCTCGGTGACCGCGATACGACTCCGGGAGGCGAAACGTGTCAATCGTCCGTGGGTTCTTGTAGGCTTCCGCGGTGTTTGCTTTGCCATGTTGTTCGGCGGGCCAAAGACGGCCCGAGAGGAGCCGGAAACTGCCACGGCACGTCCCAAAGAAGGTCGGGGGCGGACAGACCCCCCAACAGTGACACGTCGATTAGTGAATTATCCGTTTTCGGTTCTCGAGAGGGCGCCGCGGCTGTTATTTTCCAGGCTTGCGCCCGCCAGGTTTGGGCCCGAGGTCGTTTTCACTAAACCACGTTTTACTAAAGGGAGGTCTGTCCATCCCCGAGAAGGCCCCGGAGGGCCCCAAGGCGGCCCGCGAGGAGGCCAAGACGGCTCTGGAGGGCCTCCAGGCGGCCCCAGGAAGGGCCCAAGAGAGGGCGCACGACCGATCAGAGCACTTCGAGATGCTCCCGCCCCGCGGTGCTCCCAGATCGCCTCCAGAGGCCCACGAGGGGGCCCCAGCCCTGACCTTCCAGAGAGCTATTGTTTAGCACTGGAGACCTAAAAACCTAAAAAGCTGAGCGAAACAGCCTAAAACCAAGACGTAGAATAGCTCTGGGATCGGTGTTTAAGTCAGGTGCTACTTTTTAGCCCTCCTGGAAGGTCAGGGAGAGGGCCCAACGAGCCCGGGGTGACTCTGAGGCGACCCCAGGAGGTCCGTTGGCCTTGCGCACGTGGCTGCTGCATTCGAACTGCCGCTACCTTTCGGCGCGCCAGAGACGCGCCGTGAGCCGCCACGGCGCGTCCCAAGGAAGGCCCCTGAGGGCCCCAAGGAAGGCCCGCGAGGAGACGCCCCGGCCGCGCCCAGGGACCTCCGCGGCGCCTGGGGGGGAGGGGCGGGGGCCCCCGAAGGCCTCTGCGAGGCGTCCCGGAGGCCTCCGCCCGTCCCCAGGGACGCCTCCACGAGGCCCCCACAAGGCGCCAGTCGGGTATAGCCAGATACCCCAGGTCAGGGGACCCCAGAGATCCGAAGCATTGAGCAAAATCACGACGGAGGTTTGTCCCAGTTTTCGGCCTCTAGGGGCCCTTGCCGGGCGTCGGGACCGTCAAAAAACGACTCAGGATGAAAAACCGGTCCTGGGGAATGGGTCGAGACTTCCTGGGGCCCCGTATGGAAAAAAACACGACATAGGATCTCTGGGACCTGGTTAGTAGTGGGGCACTGGAGCTCCCAAACTTGCCAGAATCACTACACCAGGTCTGCTGTAGCTGGTGTTTCTTTCGGGTGGCGGCAGTTCCGGTTCGTGGGAAGATGTCGTGGGCGTGCTCGTCATCTTCGCAGTAGGTCTAGTAGATCAACGCCGCGGCCAGCTCGATGCGCCTCTTCTCCTTCTCGTTGAAGATGTGGCCGTACTCGATGCCTTTGAGAGACCCGCTGTTGTAGGCCATCTCGAGGGCGGCCTGCTGGGCGCTGCTTGACCACGAGGCGCTCTCGGCCTTGAAAAAGCAGGCCGTCATCCTCGCTGCATCCGTGCCTTGCGCGCTCGATTGGCACTGGCGCATCTCGGCGATCGCTATCTTGTCTGCGACGAACGAGAGCTCGTCGAGGATTGCAGCGTTCTGCTTGGTCATGCGCTCGAGGATCTCGTCCGAGTTCGGGCTCGCGCTCTGGGCCACCACCTGCATGAGGGCCTTGACGGGGAGACTCGCCGCCGCGTCGCGCTCGGCGGCCTGTGACACGGCTGAGGCTCGCGACGCACTCAAGGGCAACGATGTGGGGGGATAAGCATCGGGGGGGGGGGGGGGAACATCGATTTGGAATCGACGATACATCGCCGATGCATCGGCGATGCGCGCCCGATCGTGAATCCGCGCCTTCCTGGGCAGGTTCGGCATGCTTATCCCCCCGCGATCGCTGCCCCTGGGGCGAAAAGGATCGGCGCCTCGAAGAGGCTCGAAAGCTTGGAGTCTCGGGGACTCGGGGAAGCTCGCACCAGGGCAGCTGCGGGGGCAGAGGAGGAGGAGGAGGAGGAGGAGGAGGAGGAGGAGGAGGAGGAGGAATGGCCACGAACCGTGCGAGGGATGCGCTAAACAAGTAATTAAGTCCAATGCTCTGCCCGCTCGAAAGACGCATGTAGAATCAAAATCACATCGGCCCCCATTGTCCTGCCCCGCGCTCCTGACTCGGGAACGGCGGAGAATGTGAGAATGCCATGGTCCTGCCGCGCCTTTGTAACCTGGGCAAACTGAACTGGTGAGAGTCCCACAGCCGTGCCACGCGCTCGTGGTTGCGGACGCTGGTGTGGTGAGACCACCATGGCCATGCTCAGCGTTTTGATGCTGTTGCTAGTCAACATGAAATGATAACAACTCCGATTCGCAGCACCCCCCGTGGATTGTAAAGTTCGGCCTCCGCGCCTATCTCCACGCTTAGATCCTGCTGGACGGGGACAATGAGCATAGAGGGGGCGACAGGGGGGGGGTCGGCCTCCGCGCCTATCTCCACACTTAGATCCTGCTGGACGGGGACAACAAACGTAGAGGGGGCGAAAGGGGGGGGTCGGCATCCGCGCCTATCTCCACACTTAGATCCTGCTGGACGGGGACAACAAACGTAGAGGGGGCGAAAAGGGGGGGGTCGGCCTCCGCGCCTATCTCCACACTTAGATCCTGCTGGACGGGGACAACAAACGTAGAGGGGGCGAAAGGGGGGGGTCGGCATCCGCGCCTATCTCCACACTTAGATCCTGCTGGACGGGGACAACAAACGTAGAGGGGGCGAAAAGGGGGGGGGGTCGGCCTTATCATCGCTTGCGTTCGGCGAGTGCTCTGCGCGGCATGCAGTGGAGCAAACCGCGCGGGCCGAGCCGGCCCGGCAGGAGGCCCGAGCCATCGTGCTCCCTTTTGGCAACACGTGCAGCACCTCGAGGTGCTGCACTTTTTGGATTCTCCAGTTGATTTTCGATGTTGATGTACAATTTCCGGTTGAAATATCAGAAACAATATCAAGGCGATATCGATATTTCCTTGAACTGATCGTTGGATGCTTCGGATCCTTCAGGCGAACCCATCTCGCTGTCAGGGGGGGGGGGGCCGGGTGGGTGGGTGGGAGCGACTCGAATGTGTTGCTGGCGCTGTGGATTCCAGGGATACCAGAACCACTTCATGCACTTGGGGCGTCTCCTCATCGTACGCGCACGGGTGCTGCCTGAAGGGCTTCACCCTCTGCCACCGGCCCCCCGTTCAGATTGCTTGCGCTGCCACGCCAGGTTGGCAGATTGCTCGGCGTTTTCGTCGGAGGGCTGGCTGGCAACTCGGCGGATGGTCTTGCTGTCAAGCGGTTTGGGTCGTCAGCTGGCTGGCTGGTTGCGCGCGTTCGTAGTGCACCCCCAGCTATCCAGGGGTGTTTCCGACTCCTCCGGCTCGAATTGCACCGATTTCCCGGCTGCCGATCCGAACCGACTCGACCAGGACTGGACCTAAACGGTGTTTTGGCCATTTCGTGGGCCGTTTTCGTCTCGATTTCGTTTCGCGGTAGAGGCGGATTGAAGACAAAAGTGAGGGAGAACGAAAAGAAAACGAAAACGAACAACACCGTCTAGGTTCAGCCCTGTATTCAAGGGTCTTTCCGACTCCTCCGGCTCGAATCGAGTTGATTTCCCCGGCTGCCGATTCGAGCCGACTCGACCCGAAGATTCCGATGTCTGCGATTTCGACTCCGCCCACTTGTTTCATCGCTTCGCTCCCTCCGCTGGCCGTCGAGCCCTCTTTAGGGCCTCTTCAGGGCCTCTTGGGGACCTCCTGGGAGTCTCCTGTGCGGGCAAGATTTATATCCATATCCAGTGCGCTTTCGATTTTTGTTGGAAGGGGCGCCACAAGGCCGAGGTGCACTGGACATGGATAAAAATCGAGCCTCTAGGGGGCAAACTTATCCATATCCAGGGCGCCTCGGGTTTCTGGGGAAGGAAGCCCGGAACTCCATACTGCAGTGGATATGGACATAAGTACTGCTCGCATCCTGGGCTCCTCGGCGGCGCCCTGGGGGCCCCCTGTCCTCGGCGGCGCCCGGGGGGGCCCCGGGGCCTCTTGGGGGGGCTTTGGGGGACCTCGCCCAGTTGTCGGGGCGTGTGGCCTCGAGCCCCGCGCCGAATCCTCGGGAGGCGACGGGGGGGGGGGCCGGGAAGCGCGCCCCCGAGCGCAGAGCAGAGTAGATTTGGGTCGGGCCTGTCCCCCTACAGGGGGGATGGATGATCGACGAACCATCAAACATGCCCCCAAACATAGTCCAAACATGGTCCCAAACTGGTCTGGGGACTGTTTTTGAGCATCTGTTCTGGCCTGTTTGGATGATTTTTTGGGGCATGTTCTATTCTTCGTCGAAAAATCCCCCTGTAGGGGGACAGGCCCGACTGCACAGGAGGTCGGAAGGGGGCCCTTGGGCGGCCTGCGCGGGGCCTGCTCGTGGCTCTGGCCCGAGGGCCGGGGACCAACCCGCCATGGATTCTTGGGCCCCGGGACCCACGGATGCCCCAGGAGTCGGGAGCCTTGAGACGGGGGTCAGTGCAAACGGGGGTCAGCCACAGGGCGCCGGAGCCTGCAGGATCCTGCGAAGACCCCCTCTGGCTGACCCGGGTTAGGGAGCCGCTCGTGGCCGCGAGGCGGCCGCGCCTATTGGCTGACCCGGGTCTGCGAAGATCTGAGTTGCAGCTTTTTTTTCCTGCATTGCAGTTTTTGGTTTCTTGCTGACCCGGGTCTGGATTGACCCGGGTCAGAAGATCCCCGAAGGAGCCCCAGATTGGTGGAGTGTCGGAGGTGGATAGACCTCCTGCCCTGACTTTTTCGTTGATCCGCGGGTCGAGAGCGAGCCTCTTCCGGTCGAAGCTGAGCGGGCCGCGCACAGCTTCAATTGGCAGAGGGGGGAAGGCAGAAGGAGGGGCCTCACGTCAAGGCCAGCCTCCTACCCTGACACGTCGATTAGCGAATTGGCCGTTTTCGGTTCGCGAGAGGGCGTCGCGGCCGTTATGTTTGCGGGTCCAGGTCCGTCGGTTTCGGTCCTAGGCCGTTTTCACTAAAGGGAGGTTTATTAAAAGGAGGTTTGTCCACCGCCGAAAGTGTTTTTTTCTTTTCCCACGTAATTAAGGACCCCGAAATTCATCACTTCACCAAACCGAGCCCAGGACGAAAGGCAGGGGCCGAGTTGCTGCTGTGATGCAACGTGGGTCTCGTATTCGGGTGTGCCGCCGCGCGAGACTTCACAAGGGATTGTGCGGGAACGCAGCGAAACGAGCGGTTGGATTGTGGTTTGGGGAGCTCGCTTCCGAGGTAATTTGCCAGGACATGTAGCCTCGGGAGTGCGAGTACGGCGTAATCTGCACGGGATTGTGCCCTCGGAGGCGCAAGTCTGTTAAAATGTACTAGGGGTTGTGGCCTCGGGAGCGCGACACCGGCGTCATGTACAGTGGGCTGTGGTTTGTGGAGAAGCGAGCCTCTTGTGATTCACAGGGGGGCGTGGCCTCAGAAGCGCGAATCTGCGATATGATTTGCCAGGGAATGTGGCCTCGGGAGCGCGAATCCGCTGTACTTCACGTCCCCCCCCCCCCCCCAGGAGGAGGAGCAGGAGGAGGAGGATGAGGAGGAGGAGGAGGAGGAGGAGGAGGAGGAGGAGGAGGAGGATAAGGAGGCGGAGGAGGAGCAGGAGGAGGAGAGGAGGAGGAGGAGGAGAGGAGGAGGAGGAGGAGGCAGAGGCCTCCCGTGCCGAAGCGCGTCATTCGGGGAGAGTCATAGCGGTTGCTTTTCGGGCTCCCCGCCTCGCGCGGAGTGCAACCACTACAACCGCGGCACTAGACAGATCGCACAGTTATACTCGTAGCTTGGGGGCCAGAAGTGGCGCAGGGAGCAGGACAGCCTCGTCCTCGCAGCTTGGTTCAAGGGAGGAAAAACCACCCAGACCAGACAATTGGCGTTTACTGAACGGCCGTGGGCGTTTACTAAACAGCTTTGCCCTGTTTGATTCCTTCTTTGGGTGCGTTGACTAAACGGCTTCGCGTGTCGGGGTGGTTATTGTCGGGGTGGATTTTCTGCCCTCTATTGGTGGTCCCCAAGGATGCCCGCGTAGTGCTTCGATATACGCTACACGATTTCGTTCGTCCTTCTGCTGCGGCCACGAGTCGAACCTGTGCTGGCCTCGAGAGGCCAGAGGGGGGGCATGTGTGATCCACCCTCCTCCTCCTCCTCCTCCTCCTCCTCCTCCTCCTCCTCCTCCTCCTCCTCCTCCCTCTCCTCCTCCTTCTCCTCCTCCTCCTCCTCCTCCCTCTCCTCCTCCTCCTCCACCCCCTTCTCCTCCTCCCCCCTCCTCCTCCTCCTCCTCCTCCTCCTCCTCCTCCTCCCTCTGCTGCTCCTCCTCCTCCTCCTCCTCCTCTCCTCCCCTTCCTCCTCCTCCTCCTCCTCCTCATCCATCATCATCATCATCGCCTCCTCCTCCTCCTCCCCCCTCCTTTCCCCTCCTCCTCCTCCTCCTCCTCCTCCTCCTCCTCCTCCTCGAAGTTTGCAGGTTTGTCTGTGCTGAAAGCGAGCTCGCTCTCACGAGTTGGCTCGCAGTCTTGTTGCAGCCTCTGCCGCGCAGCGAGCTTTGCAACGCTGCGGGGATCATCGTGGCCTGATAGAAATAGGTGCGTACTCCTCCTCCTCCTCCTCCTCCTCCTCCTCCTTGTCCTCATCCTTTTTGTTCAGGGTATCCCGCGGGTCTCCAGTTGGTCGGATCCGGGGGCTGCGCCGCTCTCGCGCCGGCCCAGGGAAGCTGGGGAAGTACTCCGAAGCGAAGGGGATCTGGCAGGTGTTCCTGGAGTGCGGCGCGGCGCTTCCCTCATGGAGGGGGAGGAGGCGGGGGAGGAGGCGGGGGAGGAGGCGGGGGAGGAGGCGGGGGAGGAGGAGGAGGAGGAGGAGGAGGAGGAGGAGGAGGAGGGCCGGTCTTCCTGGAGTGCGGCGCGGCGCTTCCCTCATGGAGAGAGGAGGGGGAGCAGGAGGAGGAGGAGGAGGAGGAAGGAGGAGGAGGAGGGAGGGAGGAGGAGGGGAGCAGGAGGAGGAGGAGGAGGAGGAGGAGGAGGAGGAGGGGAGGAGGAGGAGTTCTGGCAAGTGTTCCTGGAGTGCGCGCGGCGCTTCCCTCATGGAGGGAGAAGGAGGGGGAGCAGGAGGAGGAGGAGGAGGAGGAGGAGGAGGAGGAGGAGGAGGAGGAGGAGGAGAGGGAGGAGGGAGGAGGAGAGGAGGAGGAGGAGGAGGAGGAGGAGGATGAGTTCTGGCAGGTGTTCCTGGAGTGCGGCGCGGCGCTTCCCTCATGGAGGAGGAGGAGGGGGAGCAGGAGGAGGAGGAGGAGGTGGAGGAGAAGGAGGGGGAACAGGAGGAGGAGGATGAGGAGGAGGGGATCTGGCAGGTGTTCCTGGAGTGCGGCGCGGCGCTTCCCTCGTGTCGGAGAGAGGGAGAAGTAGAGAGAGAGAGAGAGTCAAAGGAAAACAAAAGACATGAACATATACTGTTGGCGCTCCGCGCGGATTTCTTCGATCCGCGCCTAGGCCCCCCCTGGCGGCGCCTCCGGCGCCGCCCCTGGCGCGTTCCACGCGCCTGGGGGGGGGGGGTCAGCGCGGATCCGAGAAATCCGCGCGGAGCGCCAAATATTCATGTTTATGTTTGTTATGTGTCTTCTTATTCTTCTTCTTCTTTTTCTTCTTCTAGAGAGAGAAATAGAAGATTTGGCATCGTTCGGGCGTGTGCACTGTGGAGGGGGGGGAGAGGACCATCGAGGAACATCATGGATCACCTTGCGAAAAAGTGCACGCACGACGCCGACACATGCACGGTGAATGTACGTCCGATCGATGGCGAACGTGAGAGTGAGAGGGACCAGACATACATATATATATAGAGAGAGAGAGAGAGAGAGCGAGAGAGAGAGAGAGACAACGATAAAGGAGGAGGAGGAGGAGGAGGAGGAGGAGGAGGAGGAGGAGGAGAGGGAGAAATATGAGGAGGAGGCGGAGGAGGAGGAGGAGAAGGAGGCGGAGGCGGAGGCGGAGGCGGAAACGGAGGCGGAAACGGAGGCGGAGGAGGCGGAGGAGGCGGAGGCGGAGGCGGAGGCGGAGGCGGAGGCGGAGGCGGAGGCGGAGGCGGAGGCGTAGGAGGATGATGAGGAGGAGCAGGCGGCGGAGGCGGAGGCGGAGGCGGAGGTGGAGGCGGAGGCGGAGGCGGATGCGGAGGCGGAGGCGCAGGCGGAGGCGGAGGCAGAGGCGGAGGCGGAGGAGGAGGAGGAGGGCGGAGGAGGGGGAGGAGGAGGAGGAGGAGGAGGAGGAGGAGGTGGAGGAGGAGGTGGAGGAGGTGGAGGAGGAGAGGGAGGAGTAAGAGGAGGATCAGATAGGATAAGAGACGCTCGCGACCCCTGTCTGTCTGCCCTTTCCACTACCTGCACAAAAGAGAAGCGCACCTGACAAGACACCGATCGGATCTGCGTGTGGCCAGCATGTGAGGTATCCTGTCGACCGCCTTGCCGAGCGGATTGCCTCTGGCCCAATCCTCGGACCTCATGTGGGAACGGCTGGAGGCCGAGGCTAGGCACCATCACGCTCCACACAAGAGGCATCACACGAAAGACGCATGATCTCGCATGAACGGTGCATCACATCAATCTTACAATGTAGTTAAATGCCAGAGTGGTTCAGAGACATCTTCTGGTGGCTGAGTGACAGGCTCAACTCTGATGTCCTCATCCTGACCCCCTTTCTGTGCTGCATAACAGGAAAACATCCGGCGCAAGCAATCGATGTGCGCGATCAGAGATAGCAACAACTGAGGTATGCACAGCATGCAATGACATACTGCGCACGTGTGCAGAGCGATTGGCCAAATCGAGGAGGGAGAGCTCAAGCCTTCAGGGAGGGGAGTAGAACACATCGAATTGCTGCCCTGTGGCAGTGGCATAGCACAACATTGGGGGCTCTGATCTCTGTTGCAGCGACTGAAGACCCTCATGCCTCGGGAGATGATCACTGGCGATCTGCCGCATTCGGTCAGATCCTGATAGACACTACTGTAGTTACTTGTCCTCCTCCTCGTCTGATCCCCCCACTACTTCGTCTTCGTTATTCTGCATGCCGAGCTTGCTGAGGAGCCGCTCCGCCTCTCTCTCTCGAGGCCTCTCTTGGGTGCCACCCCCCGCTCGAGACTTGCCTCCTGTGGCCTGGAGGCTGTCGCACACTGCCTGGTGCACCGTGCCCACGGGCTGTCCGTCCCATGTGATGAGTGCCGTCTGCAACTGCGCGGACAGCACGATCTGAACCTTGAACTCGGTGGGCCTCTTGCCCTGCTTCGTGTTGTAGCAGGTCGGGCGGGTTCGGCAGTGGCGAACCTGGTCCTGGAGGCTCTGCAGGCTGCACGTGTCCCCTGCGACGTTGGCTTCCCGCTAGGCCTGGAGTGCCTGCCTTGCCTTCTGCGGGGTCTTGTCGTGCTGCAGCAGGGCCGTGAGGAGAGCCAGTCATATGTGCGGCCACGGTGGGCCCAGGTCGTGGCCCTTGCCGATCGCCTTGCACTTCGTCGCGTGCTGCTGGCCCGCGGCTTGCATCTCGGTGACCATTGTCAAGGGCTCCCTCGAGGGCGCGAAGTTATTCGCGCTTCGCGCTTCGCGGTCCTCGTTCCTTCTCCCCCTCCTCCTCGTCCTCCTATTCTCCTTCTGGGAGGGCGGCGCGAGAGCGCGAAGTTATTCGCGCTTCGCGCTTCGCGCAGCGCGAAGCGCGAAGTTGGGAGCCCTAGATTGTGGAGTCTGCGGGGATGAGAAAACAATTGAAGCAGGCGCCAATGAGGCCGGCAACGTCGCAGCTGTTGGAGATGGCCAAGCGCGTCAGCGCCACCACCAGTGCCTGGAGTGGTCCGAGGTTCTTAGTATTCATGACCTGCTCGGTTTGCTGCTTGAGGTCGGCCGTCTTGAGCTTCTTGTCTCATCCCATATCTGCTGTGATCGATCCTCGCGCGGCCGCTGTGCGCTTGAGACCCCATGATGGCAACTGTGCCTGCCAGGGCGGTGCTGCTGCTGCTGCACTGGCTGCTGCGCTTCTGGGTGCTGAAGCCTGCGAGTCGGCTGCCGTGGCTGCAGCCGCCGCCATTCTGGTCGTGAACGATTGGGAGTGATGTAAAGTGTGCTCGAACGCGTCGATGGAGGTCAGCTCGTTCGAGCCCAGATTGGCTACACAGTCGACATACATGACTCTGTGAATTATCACTGTCGGCCTTGCGGAATGTATATACCCTCCCCTGTACACACATCCCAGTTCTGAACGAATCCACCACATGTTTGTACGCCGAATTCTTGGATTCAAATATTTGTTCACATACGAAACATTGATTTGAAATAGTATACTTGCCCCGTATGTTAATGAGACCCTGATGCTGATGTAGATGGCGGATAAGTTGCCGTTGCGTTGCAAATAGGGTGCCGCATTCACGAATACAGCAACGAGATTCATCATCATCATCATCATCATCATCATCATCAGGTTGCTTTGGTTCATGTCTATAATGTTGTTCATGCTGGGATGGGGCTTGGTATCCAGGGGGGGGGGGGGGCGGAACATTCACCGTCCAGGAAACAGCTCGAAGCTGCGCTAGATCGAGTCCTCCGAACCAGTCAGACAAGTCCGAATCATCGAACAGTTGGAGAGGTCGACGATCCCATTTCTCGATCATTTCAGAGTGTTCCCCCCCAGCTGGCTAAGGCTGGCAACGTCTTCAACAAACCGATGGGCCCACGGCGGCGTCTGAGGAGTAAGATGCCCGTGTTCATCTAGGACACGCACCCCTCTTTCTCCCTCAATACGAATGACAAAGAAGAGAGCACCGCACTCGAAGTTTCGTCTCCAACGGGGCCACTCTCCACAATTGCGGAATTCGGCAGGCTGGAATAGAGCGTGAGTGGCCGTGGTGCCTCGGAGAGCTCGACGGCCAAACGAGACTACAGCATTCTGCAGCCTGGAAACTTGTACTGGAGTGACAAGGAACACCTCCAGTGCTGATACTGCAGGGCCAATCACCTTGCTCAAAAACATGGCTCGCTTTTCCACGAATGGGATTCGGGCTTGATCCCAATATCGTCCCATGGACCAGTATACCGAGGATATAGCTGAAAGCCGTGCGTCGATTTCGATGTTTGCCTTGTTATCGTATCGGACCAGCGACCCAAGGTACTTAGTTACATCATGAGGGGCTCCTGCAAGAGGGATAAGACGTTGTTGGACAGCCTGTTTGCGAGCCTGCTTGCCGACTCCTTGACACGATACAATGCGTTCGGTTTTGGCGGGGTTGAGGCGATAGTTGCGCTGGGCGAGACAATTGGAGAGGATCTGCTCGTAGAGTAGAGATTGTCGGCTGAAAGACGGGGCTGCATTCTCGCCTGGCACAGCAACAAGCTTACGTAGAGCATCATCCACGTAGTTGTGAAACGCGAGACCGATTTCAATGGGATCGTGTTCGTCAGGTTGGAGGTCCACTACACACCAGTCTGCCGTCGGTTCCCCTGTGGCCGAAAACTCTGCTTGCGCTTCTCCGAAACAATCCCCGATGTCCCCGATGAAAATCTTGACTGCCCAGGGGTCACCTTGCAGAGCTCCAACCCATGGTTTTGCAAATCGGTATCCATCCACACCCCGGAAGCACACAGCGGAACATTTGGACCTTTGTTCTCCAACACATTGCTCCCCCTCCCTCATGAGCTCCCGGTTGGCCCGCTGCAGTGCTTCCCAGCTGGATGACCCACAGGAATGTGTGATGTCCTTGTGATCATTCACAAACTCCAATCCGAGCTGGTGTAAACGCCAGCCGAGCGATTGCTGAGCGAGTAGAGGGGTTTCCCGCCTTCGGCGGGCCACGCACCCGTGGGATGAGAGTGGTTCCTCACCCTTCTGCACTGGATCGGTACATGTAGAAACAAAAGCCTTGCCAAATGGACAGAGTACGTGTACCACACGTTTCCACGACAAAGCGGTTGCTTGCGAAAGATGCCAAACTAGTGGGGTTTGCTTGGCTTTGCGGATCTTGTGCATAAGGGGAACCAAAACAACCTCGGGTCTGTTGGAGGTCTATGTCGGGGGCTTGATATCCTATTCCTCGGAATCGGTTGGAGGTTCGCTGATGTGGGAACAAGCATTGTCCAGAATAGCCCCATGGGCACAGACCACTCAGGAACAGCTCTCTTTCTTCCTGCCTTACGTAGGTATTACCGAATCTGCTTCAGTTTAGCCCGCGCCCAAGACACACACCCTCCTCCGTGCATTCGTCTAATATGTAGTGTGCTTCTACTCCATGTTCAGGGTGATAGAGATAGTCATTTGCATATTGGGTCCAGTACACCACCTCCGCCTCCATTCCTCCCTGTGACGCTGGAAGAAGCTACCTATCCTGCAACTCTTTGCTTGTGGGGAGGGCCTCAGGAGGTTTGCGATGATTGCGCTTCTTGGGCCCCGTCCCCCTGGCAGAGAGAAGCCTAGATAGCCTGGCCACCTCGGCCTGCCTACCTGCCTTCAGGTTCTCGTGGATATCATCTGTGATGTCTGAACGCCATTGCTTAAGATACTGCCGACGCTGCGACCGATCCTGACGTGACAAGCTGCGAGTATCTTCAGATACAAATGAGGCTTCGAGGGCCGTGTTGGTCGACTGGAGTGACATACGTAGCTGCCGTCGCCGATGGATGAGAGACAGATTGAGCCTGACAGCTTCAGACTACTCTCGAGAAGGATTGGCATCTCCTGTGAAATATTTCTCGGCCACCTGGCGGATGGTGTCGATAAAGACTCCCCATTCCGCGTTGGGGGTCTGCTCCTCCCGACGATATTTGTGCCAAACTTCTTTGTGCCTAATCATCTCTTGCTCGAGGTCATTGAACAACTCAACTCGATTGGTGCCCATACGGAGACAGCCCATCACCAACTCTCGATTCCATTTCACGTGTCTCCGCACAAACCCTACTCGAATATCTGGCTCCAGTGCCTCACAGTCAGTAGTGGCCGTAGTGTTTGCTAGTGAATATGCTGACCGAACATGTACAGGGAGGTCGTCGCCATGCTCTTGATGCCTACTAAACTAAAGTTTCCTAGCCATGGATCTAAGAGGGTCTGCAGAGGTGACCTGCTGGGGTGCACATTTGGGGATGAAGACGTAGTCCAGCTTAGACTTAGATCCCGTGGCACCGTAATAGGTAGGTCTTTTGCCTATGTGCAGGTTCACTGGGACGATGTCCAGGTCCTGGATTAGGCGTAGCATAACATCAGCAGCATAGCGTTGTTTGACGGGGGCATCTAGATTCCCAAGGCTCTCATCATGAACACGCATCCACTGTTCACTTCCAGATATCTTCTGGAGCCCAAACCCAGAGTTGAGGTCCATAGCAATGATGGGGAAACATCTGGAGACTGCCAAGAGGGGAAGTCCTCGGATGCACTGCGTAATACTATCACACACCTTCATGTATATTGTGTACTGGTTGGCTTTGACAGGCGGAGGCGGGAAGTAAACAGCTGCTGCTCCCAAATCATACTGACCACATCTTGCACGTATCGCAACTCCTCGCCCTGCAATGTACCTTGGTGTCGTCCACGTGTGAGGGACTGTGTGACGGCGGATACGAGGGCCCAGCACAATACTACATCCTGCACTTCGGTTGCTACCTGGTGCCCTTGCCCATCCTGCTTTAATCATCCACCTGCGTCCAGCCTTCCTCCAGGCAGCTCCCTCCGAGCCAAACTTACGTGCTCCAGTCCCTGTCAAGCAAACAACATAAAACTGAGTGGTGAGCGTGGCGATATCCATCAACCTGTCATACGAACTGGCAGATAAAGGATTATACTGAAGAGTAGATACACCATTCATGAGAAGGCAGCTGCTGACGGCCAGCAGCGGTCGTCTGTGTCGCCGGATCTCACCACGAGACGAGAAAAACGTCATGAGAGGCGCATTTTGTTAGTTCTGCTGCGTGCGCAGCACCGTAAAAAATGTGAGAGTGGAGAGTAAAACAAGAAACCTGCGTTATCGGAGTGTGTCCCCCCCTGCTCTGTGCCGGGGTGCTTGGAGGAGGAGGAGGAGGAGGAGGAGGAAGAGTAGGAGGAGGATGGACAGCAGGAGGCATGTGGGATCGAACGACCAGGACACGTGAGCCGCGACCGATGGGCGCCAGGTGTCCAGACACCAGACGAGCACAGAACCCGCGGACGCCCATGACTGCACACAGCCGCGACCACTGCTCATCCAGTGTTTTTGTCATGCCTGCCAGCCCTACAACTCCTCCTCCTCCTCCTCCTCCTCCTCCTCCTCCTCTACTCCTCCTCCTCCGCCCTCCTCCTCCTCCGCCTCCTCCTCCTCCTCTCCTCCGCCCTCCTCCTCCTCCTCCTCCTCATCCTCCTCCTCCTCCGCCCTTCTCCGTCCTCCTCCTCCTCCTCCTCCTCCTCCTCATCCTCCTCCTCCTCCTCCTCCTCCTCCTCCTCCCTCCTCATCCTGCTGCGGCAGCCATCTTGCCGAGGGCGCGCCAGCATCGCAGCGAGGTGTGGAAAAGGGGAGGGAGGAGGAGGAGCGAGCAGGCAGGGCGAGAGCCGGCGGGCGTCGCGCGCCCGCCGTCCAGGAGGGGACGGAGACCGCCAAGGCCGTGAAGCCGAAGAACCTGAAACCGACGGTTCGCCGCTCGCTGCTCGAGCCTCTGTCGGCGCCACCCAGACATACTTCTACGTTCGAAGACGCCTACACCCTAGGCGATGCTTAAGAAAACCCAAGTTTTCGGCCAGAGTCTCGATTATTCTTAATGTTCCAATGCAAATCTTAATATTGTAATAGAACTGTTGGGTGTTTATTCAAGTTCTGAGACTATGAATTTCTTAACCCATGATTTCTTAAGCATTTCGCAGGGTGTACGTTCGAAGACGCCTACTGCGAATCACCGCCGCCCACTGCTCTTTGGAATCGCCCATGTGGCCGAGCGTTGTGGCAAGGGCTCTGCCAAGCTATCGGACCATGTGTTCCCCCAGCCGTTGTGGAACCCCTTGGGGGAACACTGGGGGGAGGATGGCGGGGAAGATGAGGAGCCTGGGAGCCTCTGAGGGCACTCTTGGGGCCTCCTGGGAGCTTCCTGGGAGCCTCTTGGAGGCATCTTGGGGGCCTCCTTGGGCCTTGTGGGGGAGTCTGGGGATGTTTTTCTGCATCATTTAGGACGAAGTTTGGGGTATAATTTGAAAAGGTTAATTTTGCTTCAAAAAACGATTGTAGGAGGACACGCCCGACCTAAGCCTAAGTTGGTTATTGGATTGCAGAGCGGCTACCAGACTTTTCTCCTCTCTCAGATCCCGCCTCCCTCCTCCCTCCTTCTCCTGCTCCTGCTCCGCTCCCTCCTCCCGCCGATGTCCAGCCCTCCTCCCTCCTTCTCCCGCGGGGGGGAGGGGGACGATGGGAAGGACGGTCCGAGACGCACTCAAGGCTGGCGGGGCCCCGGCAGGGACAGTTCGCGGCGGGCCGAGGTGCCAAACCGCGGTGGGGGCCGTTGCCGAAGAAACCCACTCGCGCCTGAGCTGATTGCTCGACGCGGAGACGCCCGTGTGTGCATCTCAAACTCGGAGGCTTTCGATTAAGAACGAGAGCCCCGCACCGAGCCCTTCCCATGACGCTGGAATCCGCTGTGCTCACGAATCCCCACCATGAGCCATCGTGTGGCCCGCAATCAGAGAAGGGACTAGCTACATTGGAGGAGGAGAAGAAGGTGGTGAATGATTTGGATGAGAAGAGATTAAGGCGGACAGTCCTCCTCCTCTTCCGCTTTCTCGCGTTTCTCACTTCCGGTCGTTCTTGCACTCCCTCGCTCCTGCCTCGGCGCGCTCGGACCTGCGGGTGCCCTCCGCGTCCCCCGCCTTCCCCGCCCCTTGCACCGTGCGCCCGCCGAAGCAGGGGGCGCCGGAGCCGGCCAAGAAGGCGGACGCGGCTCTCGGGCGTTGCGCAACGGAGTGTGCGATTAACGTTAAGTCGGGCCTGTCCCTCTACAGGGGGGAATATTCAAACATAGTCACAAAGTAGCCTGGGGACCATTCTTTGAGTATTTTTGACCATTCTGGAGTTTTTCATGTTTCGTCGAAGCTCCTCCTGTAGGGGGACACGCCCGACTTAAGATTAGCGTGGGGGGAGGGGGGAAGAAAGGTGCACCCGTTGTGTCCTAGCTCAGGGGGCCTGGAAGGGCCGCCCGTGGCCCCCGGGGCCCAAGAGGGCCACGCATTGTGCACGTTTCTCCCCTCCCCCCCTTTTCTCAGGAGGGAAAAAACACGCAGACACAATTCATCGTCGACTCCCAGGAAAATATGCGAAGATATGGGAAGTGGGGGGAAGGCGAAACTCAGAAAATATAGGAAACTATTGAGACTCCTGTAATTTTCGTTTATTTATTTGATTGTGTCTGGGGCCCCCCCTTTCATTTCTTGTTCCCCCCTTGAGCAACGCCCAAGGCTCCAGCGCCCGCCAAGAAGGCGGATGCGGCAAAGCAGCCGGCCAAGAAGGCGGACGCTGCGAGAGGCTTTGGGGAGGAGAAGGGGGGAGGAGCAGAAGCGGGATGGGCGGGAGGAGGAGGGGGCAGGATGATCAGTATCGTTTAACCGACCCCCATCCCCATCCTCATCCCCTTCGAGACCCCCACTAAATTGGCCCCCCCCCCCCAGTTGGGGATACACCCCTCGAAACCCGAAGGATACGGCCTGTATCCCCATCTAGGGGGGTAAATCGGCCAGTGGGGCCCAGGCCACGCCGCTGGGGATGGGATCTGCTTGGGAAGGAAGGAATCTAGGCCTCCTGGACGGAGTCCGAGTAGATGGGGTCGGAGGATCGCGCCGCATCGCCGATGCAACGACGATGCGGCTCGATGCGGAGCCCGAGTTTCTCCACGCCGACGTCGCCGATGCATCGGCTCCGTCGGCGATGCATCGCCGATGCATCGGCTCCGTCGGCGATGCATCGCCGATGCATCGCTGATGCATTGGCGATACATCGGCGATCCAGTGCTCGGAGGGGGCAGGGTGAGCGGCGGCAGGGGGATGGGCGGGCGCAGGGGTCAGGCGCGCTGGGGGCGGCTCGCCCTCGCCGCCCTGCCCCGGACTGCGATACTTGCCTCTCTCTGCCCCCCTCGTGATGCTTGCGCTCCGCTGCCTCGCCCTGCGCCGCGGCTGTGCGGCCTGACTCGCCTCCTCCTCCTCCTCCTCCTCCTCCTCCTCCTCCTCCTCCTCGTCCTCCTCCTCCCCCTCCTCCTCGTCCTCCTCCTCCCCCTCCTCCTCCTCCTCCTCCTCCTCCTCGCCGTCCACCTCCTCCTCCTCCTCCTCCTCCTCCTCCCCTCCTCCTCCTCCACCTCCTCCTCCTCTCCTCCTCCCTCCCTCCTCCTCCTGCTCCTTCTCCTCCTCCTCCTCCTCCTCCTCCTCCTCCTCGTCTAACCTTTCCCCAGCCCCATTGGGCCGGGCGCGGCTCTGCGCCTCGCCCGCCCGCCCGCCCGGTGGGGGGCAGGCCCCGCTAGGCCCGCAGAAGCGGGCGCACATCGTCCCCCCCTGCCCGGGGGGGGGGGGGGGGGGCACGTCGGCCGGTGGGGCCGAGGGAGGGAGGAGGCCCATGGAGCTCCTCCTCCTCCTCCTCCTCTCCTTCCTCCTCCTCCTCCTCCTCCCCCTCATCCTCCTCCTCCTCCTCCTTCCCCTCCTCCTCCTCCTCCCCCTCCTCCTCCTCCTCCTCCTCCTCCTCCTCCTCCTCCTCCTCCTCCTCAGAGGGACCGACGGGGACGAAGGGAGCGAGGGGGAACAGAACGGGGAGGGGGGGGGAGGAGGGAGGATAGCGAGGGGCGAGGGCGGAGCGGCAGAGAGGTGGGGGAAGGAGCGGCGAGATGGGGAGCGGGGGGGGGGGGGAGGCGGGGGGCGGCAGGAGGAAGCGAGTGGGGATAGGGATCGGTGAAGCGATGCTCAATGCTTGCCGCCACAGCTTCTCATAGTCGCCCTCTCCCCCTCCGAAGAGCGCCGGTCGCACCCCCGTCGGCCTGTGGGGGCGCGCTGGCTGCGCCCCCTCCGCATCCTGCTGCCGGCCCACACCGCCGTCCTCCTCCTGCCGCTGGCGCAAGGGCTCTGGAGGATCGAAGTGGGTAGGAAGAGACTGGATACGAAGACCAACAGCAAATCCTGCCCATTTCAGACAGGAGGCCGCCTGCCCAACAGTGGCCGCGGTCGGTTTGGGACGACATTTGTTGTTGGGCATCGTGCCCACTGTCCTCGTACCCATTTCGGGCGTCCAAATCTGGCGCCGGGACGGGGGTGAGGAGAGCTCGGCGCCGAAATCCGAACCCTACCCGCCTCCCATCGAATCAGGAGGATCGATGATTGTTGGGGGTAGGGTTCGGATGCCGCCACCGAAGGGCGAGAAAGGGGATCAACAGCCAGAGCGTGAGGAACAGCATAGGAGGACGAGCACGGACTGCCAGCTGGGTTCACCGAGTGGCCCGCATTGGCGCAGCCCCCTGGGCAGGGTTGGGGGGAGCAGGTCGGGCGTTGCGTAATGGGTGGGCGAAGAAAGTCAGGCGATCGCAAACATGGATCACTGCAACGTGTTTCTCTGCTCCTAGCCCCCCTCCTGCTCTTCTCTCTGGTGCTTCATCCTCCGCCCCTCTCCTTGTCCATGCCTTCCATCCGTCCGTTCTTTCCCTGCCTTAGGGGCTGCACGAAATACACGCAGCAGGTAAGAAACATATACCCCTAAGGTTGTACGATCGAAGACGAAGAAGGTGGATATCGAGAGTTTGGGATATACGTGTTGAATGGCACGGGAACGGACACATAAGAGAGAACACATTCACATGTATTGTTGTTGTTGAACTCTCATTCTTGAAGAATAATTATTGTTGATCCCCCCCCACCGGTGCACATTGATTTTTTTCGATTGAAGTGCCATTCCCGGGGCTCGCACCTTGTTTTTCCTCAAGGAAAGTCTTCCTGCTCAAACTGTGCCCCTGCCCCCCGGGCTACAACAACAACGGCTCCCGCCTGAGACTTCCTCGATTTTTACTCAGGACCCCCGCTCCCGCCTTAGACTTCCGCGCAATTTACTCAGGAAAGGCGCTCCCGTCTGAGACTTCCTTGCAATGTAATCAAGACCCCCGCTCCCGCCTGAGACTTCCGTGCAATTTACTGGGAACGGCGCTCCCGCCTGAGACTTCTTCGAATTTTACTCAGGACCCCCGCTCCTGCCTGACATTTCCATCGCAATTGACTCAGGAACGGCGCTCCCGCCTGAGACTTCCTCGCAATTTAGTGAGGACCCCCGCTCCCGCCTGAGACTTCCGTGCAATTTGCTCAGGAACGGCGCTCCCGCTTGAGACTTCCTCGCAACTTAGTCAGGGCCCCCGCTTCCGCCCGAGATTTCCTCACAATGTACTCAGGACTGCGCTCTCGCGTGCGACGTCCTCACAAATTATTCTGGAATTGCGTTTCGGCGCTCAGGAACCACGCACGCGCCAAGGACGCCTTCACAACGTGGTATCTTCCCTCTTCCTTCGTCCTTCCCCCTCCCCTTCCTCCCACTCTCCCTCGTTCTTCCCCTCCTCCTCTGCAGGGCCCGCGCCAATTCCAATGGCGGGCAGAGAGATGTACGCCCCCGAAGGATTGTCCGCCCGTTCCGGTTTGCCCGTACGTCTAAGCCCGCCGGCCCCAGCAAAGAGAAATAATCCCCCCGAAAGGGGTGTGATCGAAGACGAAGAGGGCGGGTATCGAGGGTGTAGGGTATACGTGTTGAATGACTCGCGGGCAAGTAAGAGCGTACAGCCTTAAAATGGTTGTTGTTGTTGTTGTTGTTGTTGTGTTGTTGGTGTTGTGTTGGTGTTGGTTGTTGTTGTTGTTGTTGTTGGGTTGGTGTTGGTGTTGGTGTTGGGTTGTGCTGGTGTTGGTGTTGGTGTTGGTGTTGGTGTTGTTGTTGTTGTTGTTGTTGTTGTTGTTGTTGTTGTTGTTGTTGTTGTTGTTGTTGTTGTTGTTGTTGTTGTTGTTGTTGTTGTTGTTGTTGTTTTTGTTTTTGTTTATGTGTTTGTTGTGTGGTGTTTGTTGATGATGTTGTTGTTGTTGTTGTTGTTGTTGTTGCTGTTGTTGTTGTTGTTGGAAGAGGCGCGCGTGGGAGCCCCGGCCGCCCCCCCCCCCAGCAACCGAGCAACCGAGCAACCCTCTCTGGGGGTCTCCTGGGGGCGCCAAGGATTCCCTAATAGGATGTCCTAGGAATTCCACAGGCGTCCATAGGAATTTTATAGACCTCCCTAGGAATTCTATAGGCTCCCATCGGAATTCTAGAGGTCTCCATAAGAATTCTACAGGCCCCCATGGGAATTCTATAGGCCTCCATCGGAATTCGACGGGCTTTCTTGGAATTCTATAGGCCTCCATAGGAATTCTATATAAGCCCCCATAAGAATTCTATCAGCCTCCATCGGGATTCTATAGGCCTCCATCGGAATTCTATAGGCCTCCGTAGGAATTCTATAGCCCCCCATAGGAATTCTATATCCATGTGAATTCTATAGGTCTCCATAGGAATTCTATAGGCCTCCATCGGAATTCTATAGACATCCATAGGAATTCTATATAGGTCCCCATAGGAATTCGATTGGCCTCCATACGAGTTCCATAGGCCTACGGGGCTGTACGATGATGCTGATGAAGCTGAGTAGGAAAATGAGGATGACGATGAGGGTGAGGACGAGTTGTTGTTGAGTTTTCTTTTGTGCAAGTAGTTATTGTTGACCCAACCCTCCGGTAACCAGAGTATGATGTGCTTGAAGTGCCCCTCTCGGGGCTCGCCTTTTTTAATAAGGGTAAAAGCTTGATGACACCAGACGGCATCGTTGGGCCCCGAATTGCAGCAACAACAACAATAACAACGACAATGACAGCAACAACGGCTCCCTCCGGATACTTTCTCACAATGTGTTACCAAATCGCGCGGGAGTTCTTCACAAGTTATGCAGGAATCGCGTTCTCGCGTGGGACTTCCCCGCAATGTATTCAGACGCCGCGCCCTCGACACTCAAGAATCACGCTCTCGCTTTGGCCTTTCGCGCGATTCACTTGTGAGTCGCGCTATCGCTCGAGCTCTCATCGCGATTCATGCAGCTTGGGCCCGCCTTCCTTACCCGCCGTTAGGGTCAAACCGCCCGATGGGCCCGCCTGATTTTGCCATGTGCTGTCTGCTCCTACAGTCAAGACGCTGAAATAAATAAGGAACAGTTTGGATTCGGAAGGGGCTCGATGTTCCTTAGGTTCCTCCAGTGCTGTTCCTCTTGCCCTCCTGGGGCACGGAGGCGCTTACAGTGCCAAGAAGGGGCTTCGTTCCTCCGTAGCCGTTTTGGCTCAAGCCATTTTGACTCGAGCGATCCCCCGGTGACCTCGCGGCCCAGACACGGTTGCCCGCGGCGCCCCCGTCTCAAAACCATGCGCTACGGCGGAGCCTTCGGCTCAGGCTATGGCGGCGGCGGCGCGCTTGGCGCCCACGGCGCCCATGGCGGCGGCGCCTACGGCGGTGGCGCGTACGGCAGCGGCGGTGGCGCGCTCGGCACGCTCGGCGCCGGCAGCGGCGCGCACGGCGGCCCGCTCGGCTACGGCGCCGGGTACGCGGGCGGCGGTGCGCTCGGCCACGGCGCAGGGTACGGGCAGGCGGATTGTTGCACGGCCACCGCCGTCTCTTGCTGCGGTGCTGGCCCAGGCGGTGCCGCCGGCGACGCCTGCGGCGGTGGCGGCGGGACAATCCTGTCGTACGTGGGGCCCGGGGGCGATTACGTCCAGGAGACGACCTACAGGTACGTGGGGGCCGGCGCCGGCGAGTTCGGCGTCCTCCGCATCCCCCGCGCGGGGCCCAACTGCTGCTGCGTGGTGGTCCCGTTGCTGCTGGTCCCCCTGCTGCTGCTCCCGCTGCTCTTGTTCTCCCTCGCCCCGGGAAGCACCACGACCACGACCACGACGACTGTGAGGACGACCTTCCCGCCGTTGCTCGACCGACCGACCCCTCCGCCAGATGCGCCGACGACGACGACCGAGAAGACGACGACGACCAGGCCGCCGCCACCGCCTCCGCCGCCGCCGCCCCCGCCGCCCCCGCCCCCGCCGCCCCCGCCTCCGCCGCCGACGACCACCCAGAAGAGGATCAATTGTGCCGAGGGTGCCCCGGAGTCCTGGGACGTGGCCAAGAAGGTGCAGTGCTGCCTGATGGAGAACAAGGGGTGCCCGACCACGTCCACCTCGCCCTGCCCCATCGACTGCAACGCCGGCTACAATGACCTCGACCCGCTGCAGTGGGTGCGCGGGTGGTCCGGCCAGAAGAAGCTGTATTGCTGCAAGACGGCGAACAGAGGCTGTCCCTCGGAGCTGCCGCCCCCGTCGGGCGCGCCGCCATCGGGCCTGCCGCCCGCGCCCGACACGAGCGTCTACGACTGCGACGCGGGATACCACCACTGCATGCACTGCCTGGAGCTGTCGTGGTCCCCCCCGAAGATCAACTATTGCTGCAGGAACTTCCACAAGGGGTGCAGGGGCGAGGAGCCAGCGTGAAAGGGCCGCAGGGTCTAAGAGGACAGCGCTGTAGTGGCCGCACGGGGATCGAAGAGGAGAGCGAGGTGAGTGAGTGGAGGTGGGTGCAGGGGAGAAGAAGCAGGAGGGATGGCGTAGGCTGGGGAGTGCGCAAACGGGTGTCAGATTCTTGCCAGCACCCGTGTCACGGCCGAGGAATCATTTTTGTTGTCGTTGCGGCTCTCCGTGGCAAAGATACCGGAGAGCGCAGAAATCGGGATCACGTTCGTGATCACGAACATAAGAATTGTACATATTTCTTCATCAGCGATCATCTAGATCCTCACGATCCTCTCCCTTTCGTTGCCGCTCCCTGTTTTTTTTTGGAAAAAAACATTGACGCAAGGAGAACCAGCCAACATTGTGAAGTGTGTTTCTGCGTGTTGGTGCAAGCATTGCGCACCTTGTCCAAGCACAGTCGCCTTCACAACGCGATGCCGGAGACTCAAACAGCTCCCTCGAGACGGCCTTCCGCGACATTCGCGACGTCGTCTCAGATGGTTGATCGTGCCAAAGCATTTTGCCAACAAGCAACAAAAAAAAAGAAGGGGCTTCGTTCCTTAGTTAGCGTTCCTTCTTTCAGCGGCCCGACTGCAGCCCCCTCTCCTGCTGATCCCGTGCTCCAACCTCCTCCCTCCCCTTTCCACCCGTCCGCGCTTTCCCTGTTCCAGGGGCTGCACCAAATACACGCTGCAGGTAAGCAAGATGTACCCCCATGGGGGGTACGATCGAGGACGAAGAAAGCGGGTACCGAGAGTGTGAGAGATACGTCTTGAATGGCACGCGGGCGGGTAAGAGCGAACAGTCTTAACATGTTGATGGTTGTTGTTGTTGTTGTTGTGGTTGTGGTTGTGGTTGGTGTTGCTGCTGTTGTTGTTGCTGCAGCTGTTGCTGTTTGTGCTGCTGCTGCTGTTGTGGTTGTCGTTGTGGTTGTTGTTGGTGGTGTTGTTGGCGTTGTTGGTATTATTGGTTATTGTTGTTGTTGTTGTTGGTGGTGGTTGTGGTGCTGTTGTTGTTTCCCCGATGTGCAACGCCGCCGCTCTGTGCTGGCCGCGTTCGCGGGGGGGCGTGCAGGCAAGGATGCCCTGAAGATGGGCGAGTTCCACGCAATGCCGAAGCCAAAGTTTGTGAACTTCAAGACGGACTGGTGCCAACAACTTGCCTCGACTGTTGCACTCGGGGAGTGCACCCAGCAGATGGAGGATGGAGGACGGTTCGGTTCTTAAGTAACCAGGGACACGCGAGGAAACGATCAGAGATGAGGAACGACGGTGAGGTGGAGGGTTTCTCCGAAGGGCTTTGGCGACCTCTCCTCCTCCTCCTCCGCCTCCTCCTCCTTCTCCTCCTCCTCCTCCTCCCCTCCTCCTCTCCTCCTCCTCCTCCTCCTCCTCCTCCTCCTCCTCCTCCTCCCCCCTCCTCCTCCCCCCTCCTCCTCCTCCCCTCCCTCCTCCTCCTCCTCCTCCTCCTCCTCCTCCTCCTCCTCCTCCTCCTCCTCCTCCTCCTCCTCCTCCTCCTCCTCCTCCTCCTCCTCCTCCCTCTCCTCATTCGGGTGTTGCTAGAAGTGCCCCCTGGCCCAGGGTTGCCCCCTGGCCCAGGGTTGCCCCCAGGATTTTCACGCAGACCCCCACGGCCTCCAGAGCGCCCCTCGAGGTCCGGAGGGCCCCAGGGGCTCCAGATGCGAGCGAGAAGCTGGGGGCGCCCTGGGCCCGGGGGAACCTTTGGCAGCCCCCGAAGATCACCGAGCATCTTCTTTGGGTGGAGGGCAGAGGGTGAAATCTGGGATGCCGTTTCAATAGGTTTTCGAGGCTTGAATTTGCAAAAGGTGAATCACAAGACGGACTGATTTTCGAGGTGCAAAAGCCCATATGGATTTCACCCTGAGCCCTCCACCCTAAGAAAATGCCCAGGATCAGGCGAGCGAGGCTTGAGCGGCGTCCCACAGCCCCCCCCCCCGTCCAGTGACGAGCGGACGAAGCCGTGAGTTAGGTCTGGCCGCCAGGGCGTCACAGGCGCCACGCGCCTCCGGAGGCGGGAGGAGGACGGCCTGGAAGCAGAGGCCTCACTGGAATCAGTGAGGGCTTGTCGGCTTTTCGCCAATCGGCTTGTGGGCATCGAGCCAGATACATCCAGGTACACGCAGAGAAGTCGAGGTGAACCGAGGTAGATGCAGAGACATCGAGCAGATACCTCTCTTGAATCAAAGTGTGGTCGTTTTCTTTTTCGTTGTTTTGCCGATCGGCGCGGACCCTCGCACCCCCCCCAACGGGGTAGATTTTGGCTGTTTTGGGCGCCTGTTTCGAGCAGGTGGAGGCTCCCCCATCGGACGCACTGCTCCAACCAGTCGCACCAGGCAGAGGTCTGGAGCCAGACACCCCCCCCTCCCCATCCCTTCCGCCCAATGTCGCAAGGGCGCCCTCGAGGGCGCGAAGTTATTCGCGCTTCGCGCTTCGCGAGTCGGCTCCGTTCCTCCTCATCCTCCTCTTCTCCCCTGGGAGGCGGCGCGAGAGCGCGAAGTTATTCGCACTTCGCGCTTCGCGCAGCGCGAAGCGCGAAGTTGGGAGCCCTTGCTTCCCGAGCAGTGCGCGGCGTCCGCCCGCGGCGAGAGCGCTCGCGTCCTGTGCGGGCCGAGGCCGCGTCTGCGCGAAGGCGCCGCAGACGAGAGCGCACAGCGCGCGATCACCACTTGCCGAGCTCATTTGCATGGTGTTCCACCCCGATGCGATTTTTTGTGAGTCCCTAGAGGAGGCAACTCCTCGGATGTTGAACTCAGCATCGGCGCTGGCATACCCGTGGTCGAAAGCCGATCCGGCACGACCCCGCTCAGTCTGGCTTCGTTTTGCTTCGCCCCGCCTGCTCTGGCGTAATCCTGGGTTTCACCTGGGCCGAGCCAGCTCAGTGCCCCCCTGATCGGGCTCCGCAGGGGTTCCCCCGGCAGCGGCCAACACGCTTGGGTTAAGTCGGGCCTGTCCCTCTACAGGGGGAATATTCATAAATAGTCAAAAAATAGTCAGGGGACGATTGTTTGACAATTTTTGAGTATTTTGGCGACTGTTTGACAATTTTTTTATGTTTCGTCCAAAATCCCCCTATAGGGGGACGCGCCCGACTTAACTCTTGCCTAGGGTCACTCTTACATGCAGCCGAGACCTCACTTTTTCTCGCGACGACCTCCCAGGAGTTGCTGCCTTCATTCCGGTGCCTGATGCTCGCATCAGCTTCGCTCTCGTCCGCCTGCGGCCCGCGACCTGGCACCGGCTGCTGTCAAAAAAAACAGTACACGGCCCACACGGATGAGGATCGGCGGCGATTGAGGGAGGGAAGGGAGAAGGAGAAGGCCTTCTCAGAAGGCGGCGGGACTTCTCAGAAGCCCTCGCGCCTTCTGAGAAGTGTTCCTTGTCTTCGGGGAATGCTCAGGAGACTTCTCAGAAGGCCGGGGGATTTCCGAGCCTTCTGCGAAGGCCCGCCCTTTCTCACTTCCCCCCCAGGCTCGCCGCCAAGAGGGTTGCTCCACTTTTCACGATCTCTGGGGAAGGGCTTCTACTCAGGAGCAAAACTAGGGGGGGATAGGATCAGGGGCAGATGCATCGCCCCCCCATCGCCCTTTCATCGCCGATATGGGCCCGATAGCCCACCCAGCCCATGAATGTGCGGATCTATCGAGAGCGTATCGCCGATCTATCGGCGATGTATCACCGATTTCAGCTCGTTGTTTCCCCGCGCCTGAGCCAGCCCCCCTGAGCCAGCTACGCTAGATGCACGAGAGCACGATGTCTCCCCTACTTAACGATGATCATGGCGTCACGAAGGGTCCCGTGCGCGAATCGTTGTTTGCATCAGTGGAGCTCGCGACACGCCGTACACCGACAGATTCAAGGACATTGACGCTCTCCAGCCCTCACCGCCAAGTCGGTGCAAGGTGCCTTCACTGATCGAGTCTAACGATTCTAGCCCATAGAGAAATTGCAACCATCACCTAGAGAGGCTGGGGGGTGTGGGCGCACAAGGGGAACACAATGTTGGTCTCTCTTGTTCTTCTCGCACTCTTGTGGCCTCCACCCCTGAGCTTTGATTCCTCTGTATGGTTTTGCGGCGGTAAGTCGAGCCCTAAACTGAGCTAGCGAGAACACTGAGCCGTTGCCATTATGAGTGCAAGCCGCCCTGGCAGGACCAAGTGTGGATCGACGAGTTCACGTCGCAACCTCTCAACTACGTACGGTGTAGGTAGCGCGACTATTGTACCTTCGAGATGTCGTTGCTCAGCTTTCAGTGTGCACGCGCTAGCCAGTGGTGCACATACGTGATACAGACGCGTGGGTGATCTGAATATCCATGGACTGATGAGCCACCAAGCCCTTCCAGACAGATGGAGCGAGCTGCTCAATGCCACACGCATTGCTGATGTGAGTCGCGCGACAATGACGGCATAGGGTGAACTAGGGGAGGAGGGGAGGAGGAGGAGAAGGAAGGGGAGGATGTGGAGATGAGGATGATAGGAGGATGACGGGGTGTACAGAGAGGGAGAGAGAGAGAGAGAGAGGAAACAAGCAAACCATAACAGGAACAGAGACAGAGACAGAGACGGAGACGCTGGAGGAGACGGAGGAGGAGACCCAGGACGACCCCAGAGACCCCCCAGAGGCCACGGGAGCCTTTAAGATTCCTCCAAACAGATCGAACACCTTTCTCCTAGGAAAGCAGCAGCATCAGGAAGACGTGGCGAAGCGCGACAGCTGAAGGCGAGTCCGGGGAGGGAGGCGGCGCCAGCGCCTAGGAGCGATCCGCGCGGGCAGGCGCCCGGACGACAACATGCCGCAGGATAACGACGCCAACGGATGGCTGGAGGTCTGGGCTGAGCCTCGTAGGAGCCCGAGGAGAAGGAGGAGAAGGAGGAGAGGGGAGGAGGACCAGCAGCAGCAGGAGGTTCGGGGGAGGAGGAGGAGGAGGAGGAGGAGCATGGGGAGGATGGGGAAGGGGAGGAGGAGAGGAATAGTCACAGGATGGTGATGATGAGGAGGAGGTGGAAACGGAGAAGGAGTCATAGATGGGACGATCTATGTATATGTAGAATGTTTACGTGAACACATATGAATATATATATATATATCCACACGTGTGTGTACAAGTATGTCAGTCTGTCGAGGGCAAGTCAGACAATAGAGACAACCGCATACCAACATTCACGTATGCATGTGCACCGATGTGCATATACGTGTACACGCATATGGAAACGTGTGCATCGGCATCTCTGTATACATGCTACACGCTTCGTATCTGTGTATGTATATATATATACACATGGAGTTCGAACAACTAGGTCGGCATGCCCGGGCTCAGCCTCGCGGACCTACTCTAAAACCATATTTTAAAGATTCGTTGTGTTGTTTCATGCCGTGTCGTCATCGCGCGAGTGATGCTCGAAAACCTAGTTTTCAAAATGGCCACGGTGATCTTCCCCCAGATATTCCTCCGAATTGTCCTCCAGATCTTCACCCAGATCTTCCCCCAGATGTTCCCATTGATCTCCCCGCAGATCTTCACCTAGATCTTCCCCTCAGATCTTCCTCAGATATCCTTCAGATCTTCCTCAGATATCCTCCAGATCTTCTTCACAGGGCTCAAGCTAAACACTGTTTACTTGTTTGGTTTCCTGTTGTGCTCGTTTTCTTTCTGTTGTTCGTTCTAAACGCGTTCGGGAACACGATTTGTGCGGACTCTACACAGTAGGCGCGGGCCTACCCGTTTGGGGAACGAGGCCTATGTTGTGTTTGGTGTTTTGTTCTCGCGCGGGCACGAGCCGTGCGTTTTGTTCGCGTTTTGTTTGTGTGCGAGAAGGGTGGCCATGTTTTGTTTTTTTGCGCCCGGTTTCTGTTCACGGCGTCTTCGCATTTTGCGCGGCGCGCCTCCTCCCTTTTCGTTTTCACTCAGCCTCGCGGATCTAGTCTAAAATCACATGCTTGAATTTATTTGTTTTGTTTCATGCTCTGCCGTCATCGCGCGAGTGAGTTTCGAAAACATGAGCTTAAAATGGTCACGGCGATATTTTCCCAGGTTTTCCTCCGGAGTTTCTTCCAGATCTTCCACCAGATCTCCCCCCAGATTTCCCGAGATCTTCGCCCAGATCTTCCCCCAGATCTTCCCCTAGATCTTCTGCCAGATCTTGCCTTAGATCTTTCCCCAGATCTTCCTCCAGATCTCCACCCTGATCTTCCTCCAGATCTTCCCCCAGGTCTTCCCCCAGATCTTCCCCCAGATCTTCCCCCAGATCTTTCCCAAGATCTTCCCCCAGATCTTCCCCCAGATCTTCCCCCCAGATCTCCCCCCAGATCGTCCCCCAGATCTTCCCCCAGATCTTCCTCTCAGATCTTCCCCCAGATCTTCCCCCTGATCTTCCCCCAGATCTTCCCCCAGATCTTCCCCCTGATCTCCTCCCGGATCTTTCCCCAGATCGTCCCATCAGATCTTCCCCCAAATCTTCCCCCAGATATCCCCCCCAGATCTTCCCCCCAGATCTTCCCCAGATCTTCCCCCAGATCTCCCCTCGGTTGTCTCCCCCAGATTTACCCCGGATCTCCTCCCAGATCTTCCTCCAGATCTTCCCCCAGATCCTCACCCAAATGACCCTTCAGTTTTCCCCCTCAGATCTTGCCCCAGATCTCACCCCAGATCTTCGCCCAGGTCTCCCCCCCGATCTCCCCCCAGATCATCCCTCAGATCTCCCCCCAGATCTCTCCCCAGATCTTCCCCCGGATCTTCATCCAGATCTTCCCCAGATGTTCCTGCAGATCTTCGCCAATATCTTCTCAGATCTTCGCCCAGATCTTCCTCCAAATCTTCGCCGACATATCCCCCGAGATCCCCCTTTGGATTTTCCTCCAGATGTTCCTCGGATCTTCTCCCAGATCTTCGCCCAGATCTTCCCCCACGCATTCCTCAGATATCTTGCCAGATGCTCCAGATCTTCCCCCTGAGCCCCCCCCCGGATCTTCCTCCGGATCTCCCTTCAAATCTCCCCAGATCTTCCATCAGATCTTCCTCCAGATAGTCACCCCGATCTCCCGCCGGATCTTCGCCCAGATCTTCCCCGGATCTCCCTTCGGATATCTCGCCAGATTTTCCTCCAGATTTTCACCCTGATGCCCCCTTAGATCTTCGCCCAGATCTTCCTTCATATCTTCGCCCGGATCTCCCTCCAGATCTTCCCCAGATTTTGTCCATCGGATTTGCGCCCAGATCTTCCCCCGGATCTTCGTCTAGATCACCCCCCAGCACACTTCCCAGGCGATTTTTGTTTGTTCCAACCCGCGTCGCTGCCCTGGCTCTTGTTTAAACAAATCCTAGTTTTGCTATCTGCCCCGCTTCGGGGCTGCGATCTCTACGCGACAACCTAGAATCTTAAATTCTTTGTTTTTGAGAAGTCATTGTGTTGCTTTCAAGCTCCTTGTATATATGTATTGAGAGAGGGCCGATGGAGCGATGACATACTAACAATGATACACCAAGACGGTGCGCATACATGCTACACGTCTTGTATGTATGTGTAGAGAGAAAGGGCAGACGGGGCAAGGACAGACTAACTATGATACAGTAAGACGATGCACAGAGCTGCTATGATATGTGTACACGTTTCTACATACACGTGCAAGAGAAAGAGAGAGAGAGAGAGTGAGACAGCACGCTTCGGGCAGATCAGTCCACCCGACCAGGGTGCTGGCCCAGTGCTCGCGTTGCTCTGAGGCCAGAGCGTGAGGCGCGCGGTAGCCGAACCGAGCTGACGGGAGTACAGTCAAAACGCATAGTAAGGATGCGCAAGTTTCCAAGGTTACTCTCGCATCCTTCCCCTTCGGCACGTCCTTGGCCGCTTTCGCTGGCTGCGCCTCGCTCGCAAAGTGTCGACATGGCCTTCCAAGGCCCTGGCATCATTATCGCACCTCCTTATTTTACGCGATGACTGTACTGATTCCAGGGCTACGCAGGCCTACTGCCTGCACCGTCACTAGAGCCCCCCTCCCCCTCTCGCGGACGACAGGGACGATGAGGACGACCGAAGCGACTCGGAGTTTTGCCGAGATTGGGCCTTTCGGATCTAGGCAGCCTCACGTCTGCAGCCGAATCCGGCCCATTGGGTAACGATGTCTGCGTAAACCTGGAATGCAGTGGAGGCCCATGCCAAGAAACCTCTAGGGTGCCCCGGGTTTCTTGGGTGTCGATTGTTTTGCCATGGACAGCGTGACGTTCCAACACCAAAAAACCAAAGGACGTCCTGGGGTCTCAGGGTTGCGTTTCTTGTGGAAGGTTTCTTGTGGACTGGCCTCCACAGTATGCCGCTTGCCCTTCTGGCTGCGTCAATCGTGCCTGGGACGGGACCCGACTCGAAATCCCGCCCCAGGCACGCTGCACACACGGGCGCGCCCCAACCAGACCGAGGGCGGCCGCCATCATCCCCCCGGGCCTCGGGCGCGGAAGCGCAGGGCCCCCGCAGCAGGGCTCCGCGCTGCCCCGTGCCAGGGCAGCTCAGTGGCCCGGGGGGGGGGGAGGGCGGGCTGGCCGTGCTCGGGAGCGCCCGTTCCTTCGTGGCCAGGCGCGCTGGCTGAGGTTCGACTGAAGGAGAAACTCTGCAGCAGCAGGACCCGAGCCGGAACGATGAAAACTCTGCACGCTTCGCGTATTCCCACCAGCCTTCCGCAGCGTATAATCGAGCATTTTGCTTATTGCATGTGCACCTTCGCTTTCTTGCGGATTTTAACTGCAGGTGCATTGCCTGTTGTAGCTAATTAGCCTCGCCTGCTGGCCCAGACGACGCCTACCGCTTCCTGTCCGCCGCCTCGGAGCCGCCGACCAAAAAAGTATTCCCACCAGCCCTGGCATCTCCTGCAGCTCGGCCTTCAGTCCCCGGCGTCGCTCGGCGTCCCTCGGCGGCAGCTCTGGCGGCCGTTAGTTCGCGCGCTTAGGTAATTTGGTTTGGCTCGTAGCCCGGGCGGACTTCGGACGCCGTCTGCGCTTTCGCTTGCGGCCGCGAGGGAAAAGTACTCCAACCAGCCCGTTCAGAGACGTGGCCCATGAGAGCTGACGGGAAGCGGGACGAAGAGACACATAGTCAAACAAAGCGGGCAATCAGGATGAACAGGGAGATCGTTGGGAGCAAGGGAGTGGCTTTGGAGGACCTCTTCGGGCCATCTGTGGGGCCCGCCAGGGGGGCGAGGGGAGGAGGAGGAGGAGGAGGAGGATGAGACAAACCGCCTCTTGGGGCAGTTGTGGGACGCTCTTGGGCCATCTTGTAGGGCGTCGATCAACATAGGGGGGGGTCCTGGAGTTCCGTCCCCCCCGAAGAGCCCTCGAAATCGCCCCTAGGCGGCCTTTTGTGGCGCTCTTATGCCGCTCTTGAGCGTTCTTGGGGCTGTCTGGGGGGCCTGTTGGGCCCCTCTCGGGCCTCTCTTGGGCCATCTTGGGGCCATCTCGAGGCCCCGGAAGCTCACCGGAAGCGAAAAGGCTGGTTCTCATGTTTTGTTCGTTGGTTTTTGAAGGACTCTGGCAGGGAGGTTCATTTATTGTTTCAGTTGGTTCAGACGCGCGGCGCCACCGCGTCCATCTCGGCTCACCTCTGGCGGATCGTGGCACCATAGAGATTCAGAAACGGTCTCAATGCGTGCAGACGCATGGCGGCACCGCGCCTGCACATTTTGGCACATCCCTCACGAGGGCAGTTTCGCCAACGGTTCCAGCGGGCACAGGCGCCCGACCGCGCCGTTCCAATTTCCTGCACGCCCTTCAGGAGGAGCGTGGCCTCGTAGGAAGTCCCACCTCGGAAGACAGAAGAAGCCCGAAGACAGGAAAAGCCCAAGGCAGAACAAGACCCAGACAGAAAAAACAAACTGTACCGGATGCTTGCTGATTCCTGTTGCTGGGTCTCTGCGCAGAGGAGGGCGGACAAGTCCTGCCCGCCCTCCCTGTCCTCCGTCGGGGTTCTTTGCTGTCTATTACTGGGCGCAGACGCACGGCGGCACCGCGCCGACTTCGGCGCACCCCGCGAGAGGATCGTGGGCCCGCGTGTGGCCCCATCCGCGGCCCCAGAGGTCCGTCTACAGGGCGCCAGCGGGCCGGGCCCGTGTCGGCGCACGGCTGCCCAGGACCGTTTGGGCGTTGCGTAATGGAGGGGTCATAAATGGGGGGGTGTCGCGGGTGGTCCGAAAAGGTACCCAAACGGTACCTAAACGAGCCCCCTGGGGCTCCAGAGGGGCCCGAAAGGGGCACGAAAGGGGACCGTTTCTGACCCCCCCATTTATGACCCCCCCACTAAGCCACGCCCAAACCGTCCCCCAGAGTCGGGCCGAACGAAAGGGGAGGATAGGGAAAGGGGGGATTACGAAATCTGCTGCGTGCAGCTGGTGTCGGCCCCGCCGCCGGGCCCATTCCTCGATGCATGGGCGCCTCCTGGCGCCGGGAGGCGCCGGGAGAATCAGCTGCGGGAGCTGATTCTCGAACCCCCTCTCTGCTATCCCCCCCTGTCGCCCAGCCCGACAGAGGGATCCCGACCTGCTGCCCCGGTGGCCGGGAGGGGGGGAGGGGGCATGGGGGGAAAGGAAAACGGCAGCGGTCGGCCAGGGGGGGGAAGCATAGCCGGTCGGTCGCAATGGGCAGAGCGGGGAGGCGCAGGGAGAAGGGCGGGAGGCGCGGGGTGCCAGAATCCGGCCGTTGGGGTGGGGCGCGGCACAGTTCGGCACGCGGCTCCCGAGGACCGGGCCCCACATCGGGAGCTCCACCTAATTATGGCCCCTCCAGTGTGCAAGCTCGCATGGCGGCGCCGCCCGTTTGGGCACACTCTTCACGAGGATCGTGGCCGCATGGGTTGAAGGATCCGCGTGGGGGCGCGCCCAGTTCGGCACACCCCTCACGAGGATTGTGGCCCCATAGAGAGCTCCACCTGGTTGTCAGCGGGAGTCAAGTGAGTTCAGCCACGCGCAGAGGGGGGTGGGGGGACGGGGGAGGGCTTCTCAGAACCACCCCTGCTTCTTAAAAGGCGCGGGCCTTGTCTGTAGATGTAAGGCCGGCGCCTTCTAAGAAGCAGCCTCCTTCTAAGAACCCCTCCCCCCTCCCTCCACCCCCTTGTGCTCGTCGCCAAGGGATCTCCACGTGAGGTTTCAGGTGGAGTCAACTGAGCGACGCAGAAAGCGGGGTCGTCTTGACCGACATTGGCGCGCAAGCTGCCCGCGTAAGGTCGCGCGTGCGCGCACTTGTTTCCAGTGTGGCGTGCCGCGCTGGCGGCCCGCGTATGCCGCCGCGTGAGATCGCTATGCCATCTCGCGGAAGACCCGCTTCATTTCGTCGCTCACTTGACAGTTGCCCAAACCCATGTCGGCGCACCCCTCAGTTGGATCGCGAACCGCAGGAAGCTCAGCTCGCCTCCTGCACGCCTGGTCTGACGCCCCCGCCTCCGCATTGATGCGAGCTCCATCCATGTCGCGGCGCGCTGCTGGTGAGCTGCACGGGGCAGGGTCCTTCGCCAGAGCATGTTTGAAGGTGTCACTCCCCAGATCCGACCCAGCATGGCCCAAAAGGTACGATGGCCACGGAGGCAGAGAGGCCCCCAAGAGGGCCCCAGCAGAGCCAGACGTGCCCCCCAGGGGTCCTCCGAGAGGGCCCCCCGAACCTTCAGATCCGCAGCCCGGCCCAGCAGTGATCTTACGTCCGTGGCCCGTCCATTTCTCCTCGGCCGGCCGAAGGCGGCCGCCACACGGGAGGGGGGAAGCGTTGCGGTGTAGGGTGGAGGTGAGCCCCTCTCCGAGGGGGGCATTTGAAAGACCTGAAGCCCCAAACCACCAGACGCCCCGAGAGGTTGGCGGTGTGGCGCCATGTGAGATAGAGGATAGAGGAAGAGGCGACACTCAATGAGGACGAGCATGAGCCACAGTATCTGCCAGGTCCTTCGTGATGTCTACGTGAGGCAGCTGCGGGAAATCAACCAGGACTTGCCCACATCTGTTGGGATGCAGCGGGGGGGAAGGTCATACCGACAGTGACCGACGCAGGCTGGAGCTCTGTCCAGATCGCACGTGCAACCCACCTTCTCGCGCTCCCAAGAGTACCTGAAAGTACCTGTACCCCAAGCGCACCACCGTTAGCAATGCAGCATTGACCAGAGAGGATGCGCACGCAAACAGTGCACCGATTGGCGGAGAGCGGCGCTATTCCGCTGCGTCTTGCGGAGCTGATTCTTCTCCCCTGCGGCCGTGATGCGGCGCGCGCCGCTGCGAAATGCTGGCTCGCAGCGCAGACTAATCTTCCTCCGCCTCCTCCTCCGATTCTTCTTGCTCCTCCTCCTCCTCCTCCTCCTCCTCCTCCTCCTCCTCCTCCTCCTCCTCCTCCTCCTCCCCCTCCTGCTCCTCCTCCTCCTCCTCCTCCTCCTCCTCCTCCTCCTCCTCCTCCTCCTCCTCCCTCCTCCCCTCCTGCTCCTCCTCCCTCCTCCTCCGCCTCCTCCTCCTCCGCCGCCTCCTCCTCCGCCTCCCCCTCCTGCTCCTCCTTCTGATTATCCTCTTCCTTCTATTATTATTCTTCCTCCTCCTCCTCCTCCTTCTCCTCCTCCCCTCCTTCTTCGCTTCTCCTCCTCCTCGCCTTCTCCCCCTCCTCCGCCTCCCCCTCCTGCTCCTCCTTCTGATCCCTCTTCCTTCTATTATTATTATTCCTCCTCCTCCTCCTCCTCCTCCTCATCATCATCATCACCACCACCACCATCATCATCATCATCATCATCATCATCATCATCATCATCATCATCATCATCATCATCATCATCATCCGCCTCCGCCTCCGCCTCCGCATTCTCCTCCACCTTCGCCTCCTCTTCCTCCTCCTCCACCTGTTCCTCCTGCGTCTCCTCCTCTTCCTCCGCCTCCTCCTCTTCTTCTTCCTCCTCCTCCAACTGCTCCTCATCCTCCAGATGGGAGGGTATGTTGGAGCATCGTTCTATGTCCCCCAGAGGGGTACCGAGCAGATGGGTCGGAGGATCGCGCCGCATCGCCGATTCATCGCCGATACATCGTTGGAGTGCCCCCCATAGGGGGTACCGAGCAGATTGGGTCGGCGGATCGCGCCGCATCTCCGATTCATCGCCGATACGTCGTTGGAGCATCGTTCTATGCACCCCAGATGGGTACCTAACAGATGGGGTCGGAGGATCGCGCCGCATCTCCGATGCATCGCCAATACATCGTTGGAGCGTCGTTCTCTGCCCCCCAGAGGGGTACCAAGCAGATGGGGTCGGAGGATCGCGCCGCATCGCCGATGCACGTTTGCGCCGGCGACGTCGGCGTTGGGAAAGTCGGGCTCCACATCGAAATCCTCCGACCCCATCTATGAGGCCTCCTTATCGTTGACACACCATCGGCCACAGTGATCCCATCCCTCCTCGACCTCCTTTCTCCTCACGAATCGTCGGGATGATTCCTCTGAAGGCCGCCGATCACCGCCGAAGGCGCACTAGGGGCAGTGATGGGAGGACGGAGGGGGTGGTGTAGGAGGAGGAGGAGGAGGAGTCAGACGAGGAGGTAATGAGGGAGGCGGGCCAGGAGAGGAGCGGGAAGGAGGCTGGGGGGGCGGGCCAGGGCCCGGAGAGGAGCGTGAAGGGGGGAGGGGGGAGGTCAACAGGGGCTTGAAGGGTGGAAAGTCGGGAGCAGGGCGGGGACAGAATATGAGTTGGGCGGCCCATGCTGGTGTGTGGCTGGTCCGATGGACCCCCCTCCCCTACACTCGAAGAAGACACAAGTGCATAAGGTCCGTGCAGATTTCTTGGACCGCTGCTTGGGACCCCTTGGGCGCCTTCGGCGCCGCCCCTGGTGCGCTCCGCGCGCCAGGGAGGGGCATCCAGCGCAGATCCAACAAGAAACCCGCGCGGACCTCCGAGAAATCATCCGCATGGGAAACACAAGAACAAAGAACACAGCTTCCGCGACCGGTGCTACAAAACAACATCAAGCCGAAGTCGGCCCACGAAATCGACCAAAGCACCGCTCGGCTCGAGCCCCGTGATGGCCCTCGGCGCCCCCGATCTCCTCTGTCCTGCCGCAGGCCGCCCTTGTTCCTGCTTTTGCGTGCCGTCCCCACAGCAGGGCCGAAGGCCGCCCTTGCTGTGGGGCCAGCACGCGAAACCTTTGCTCTCTGCTCCTCTGCTACGGCCGCAAGGCCGAGTCTCACACACGGGCCACTCAGGGCTCAGGGTTTTCTTTTGGGGGGGGGGATCTCGGGCCGTTCCTCGGGTCCTCGTCGTGCACGGGGCCTGCTCGTGGCCGAGGCTCGCAGGGGCCAGGAGAGCCCCCTTCGCTCCTCCGTCACCGTGGGGTCCTGCGGCGCCGGCGCGCCGGCGACGCCGGCGAAGGCGTTCAAGGTTGAAGCCTATCTTCTATGTCGCGGAAGCACCGAGGGACACGGTAGCGCCACTGGACCCGACGGAATTCAACCTTGAGCGGTCGGGGCCGCGACCGATCGCGATCGAGTCAAGGTTGCACGACCGACGCGGCGTCCAACTCTTCTGCCCGCGCCAACGCCGCGCGACCCTGCCGCAGCGTCCCTCACGGGAGCACGACGACTGCACCGATCTCCCCCCTCCCCCGTTGGGAGGGAGGGGGGTCTCCCAGCCCTCACGGTGTTGCGGATGCAACTCCCGGGAGGTCCAATTATGAGTTTGCCCTGGTCCGAAATCCGGCTTAATCCCGCTTGACCCCGTTCAATCCGGCTTAATCCCGCTGAATCCCGCTTAGTCCGAGGCCCACTCCAGCGTAACAGCACCCCCACGGGGCTTGCTCCTTGTTCGTCTTTCCGACGAAAACCTCCCAGCAGCTGCCTCCTAACGGTGTGCGGCCCGGCATCGCGCCCGTGCGCCCGCGGGCCCCGCGAGTACCCGGAGCCGCCCCCGTTTCACACCATCTTCGAGCAGGTGGCGGACCCCACGGCCGCGGACACCAAGGCCGTGAGGCGGGAGCGGCCCTGCACCGGCCAGAGGAGGAGGAGGAGGAGGAGGAGGCGGAGGAGGAGGAGGAGGAGAAGGAGGAGGAGGAGAAGGAGGGAGGAGGAGGAGGAGAAGGAGGAGGAGGAGGGAAGGGGAGGAGACGGAGGGGGGAGGCGGGGGGAGAGGAGGAGGAGGGAGGAGGAGGAGGAGGAGGAGGAGGAGGAGCGATTATCTCTCTGGTCAGCTTCTGCATTTTCGCGGGGCCACTTCCCTTATCGGATCGTGCCGCGCAACTACCACGCACTTCACTCCCAACACGCACCCCTCGTCATCTGGATCTGGTGGAGATGATACGGGCGGCCGGGACACTCCCTGCATCATTCCTCTCCACCATCTCTCTCTGCTCGTCATCCTCCTTTCCTTACTGCTCCTGTTTTTGTTTCTCCTCCTGCTTGGTACTCATCGCTCCTCGTACGCCCTCCCTACTCCGACTCCCCCGCCTTATTTGAAGAAGCAGACCATGCCGGGGCCTACCACAGTAGCAATCATTGTTGTCATCATGGAAAGAGCGTGTTCTACCGCTGCTGGTGGAAAACCGGGGGGGGTCACTGGGGGTTCGCAACCCGTCCCCGCCCCCCTATCGAAAACCAGGGGGGGGGTCACTACCGGTTCGAACCTCTTCCCCCCCACACTCCGTCATGAAAAGGGGGGGGTCACTACCAGTGACCCCCCCCTCTCGAATTTCGAAAACCAACGGGGGGGGGCACTACCGGTTCGACCCCCCCCCCCCCACGCCGACGGCAAATGATTCCCGCTCCTCGAGACAGTTGCAGAATGGTGGGGATGCTGGGACAGTGGTGGGAACGGTGGTGGTGGGGACAGTGGTGCGGGTACATGGGACAGTGGTTGCGGACAGTGGTGGACGGTGGTGGGGACGTGGACAGTGGTGAGGGACAGTGGGAAGTGGTGGGACAGTGGGACAGTGGTGGGGACGGTAGGGTGGGACAGGGGTGAAGGCGGTGGTGAGGACAGTGGTGGGACAGTAGTACAGTGGGGAAAGTGGTGGGGACACTGGGGACAGTGGGACAGTGGTGGGGACAGTGGGGACGATGGGACAGCACAGTGGGTGGGGACCGTGGGGGAAGTGGGGAGATTGGGACCGTGGTGGGACAATGGTGGGGAGAGTGGGGACAGAGAGACACTGGCGGGAGCACTGGTGGGGACAGCGGGGACAAGGATGGGACCAGTGGGGACAGTGGGACAGTGGTGGGGACTGTGGGACAGTGGTGAGCACGGTGGTGGTGGGGACAGTGGTGTGGGGACAGTGGGAATGTGGTGGGGACAGTGGGACAGTGGTGGGGACAGTGGTGGTGGGGACAGTGGTGAGGGCGGTGGCGAGGGCGGCGGTGGGACAATGGGACAGAGGTACAGTGGGGACAGTGGTGGGGACAGTGGGGAAAGTGGTGGAACAGTGGGACAGCTCAGTGGGACAGCGGCGGGGACAGTGGGACAGTAGGGACAGTGGGACAGTGGGACAGTGATTGGGGCCGTGGGGAAACTGGGGGGAGTGTGACCGTGGTGGCAGTGGGGACAGTGCGACGGTGGTGGGGGCACTGGTGGGGACAGTGAGGACGGTGGTGGGAACAGTGGGGACAGTGGTGGTGAGGACAGTGGTGCTGGGAACAGCAGTGGGGGATGTGGTGCGGACGGTGGTAGGGACCCGGGAGTCGTTTGCCGGCGGTGAGCGTGGGGGGGGAGGGGTTCGAACCGGTAGTGACCCGCCCGGTTTTCTGGAGGGTGGGGGGGGTTCGAACAGGTAGTGACCCCCCCCGGTTTTCTGGAGGGGGGGGAGAGGGGTTCGAACCGGTAGTGACCCCCCCTGGTTTTCTGGGGGGGGAGGGGTTCGAATCGGTAGTGACCCCGCGCGGTTTTCCGGAGGGGTGGGGGGTGGGGGTTCGAACAGGTAGTGACCCCCCCCAGTTTTCCGGAGGGGGGGGGGGTTTGCCGGGAGGAAGGGGGGGGGGGTCCAGCAGGGGGGGGATATCGGAGGGGGGGGGACCCCCGGGTTCGGAGGACGAGGGGGGGGGGCATTTTCCACATTAAAACGGCGGTGGATCACGCCCTCTCTCATCATGCCATCAATCATCGGTCTCCCTCGGCCCTTTTCCCAACACTGTGTCATGTGACGCAGCACGCTTTTGGTCCGTTGGGGTGACGAACCTCTGCTTGGATTCTTGGTGGGCCACGCCATCGCAACGCATTGACTCCCGCAGCGATTTTGCACCCCAAGACACCCTCGGATGCCCCAGGACGGACATGAGGCCCCAGTGGCCGATGAAGGTCTTCAGTTATTCCCCCCGGTTTCTCTCGGCGGGGAACAGGCTCGCCCGTTCTCTTTCATCCTTTTTCCTCAAAAATCAATCCTCCCTGTCTCACCCCGAAGCAGGTCGAAGGGGCGAGCCGGGCGTTTCGCCTGAGACTTCCTCACCATGTATGACCCTGAAGCTGAAACATTGGCAACAGTTTCACATATGGAGGCCAGGCCGCTTCGAAAATGTGGCTCTCGCTTTAGCGCCGCGCACATTCGTCCTTGAAAAAATACGAGTTTCAAGGATTGAGGGCGGGCCGTTTTCAAATTGTGGCTCTCACCCTGGCGCTGCGCACATTCGCATTAAACATTTGAGCTTCACGGATTGAGGGCGGATGTTTTTGTTCAACATGTGGTTGCCGCCTTAGCGCTGCAAGAACTCGCCGCGGCAGGAGTTTCATGGATCGAAGGTGATTGGTTTTCAACATCTGGTTCTCGCTTTAGCGCCGCGCACGCTCGTCTTGAACATTTTCAAGAGCTTCAAGGATTGAGGGCGGGCCGTTTTCAAAGTGTGGGGGCGTCGCCTTAGCGCCGCGCACATTCGTCTTACAAATTCGCAAGAGTTTCAAGGATTGAGGGCGGGCCGTTTTCATAATGTGGCTTTCGCCTTACAGCCGCACGCATTCGCTTTCAACTGTCACAAAGAGTTTTACGTATTCCCATAGTCAAGGTACCAGAATTGGTGTGTTGGAAGAATTCCAGATGTTGAGGATGCAACCTTTACGTCGATTCGCGTTTTGAGGTCCCAGGAATAGCGTTCTGGTACGATTCAGGATTGTTAAGGCGCAACAGTCAGGTAGATCCGTGGCGTTGGAATCGCGAGAATGGTGCTTCGGCACGTTTCAGGATCTTCAAACGGTTGTCTCCCAAAGAGGCAGTTTCCTCTGTGGAATTGAGCCCGTATAGGGGCCTATGAAAAGGGAGCTTGGAGGGAGGGCTTATTCAAACATCGTTGATGAGTCTTGTATTTGCATTGGTCCTGCTCCTCCTCCGCTCTTGCTCTTCCTCCTCCTTCCCCCCTCCTCCTCCTCCTCCTCCTCCTCCTCCTCCTCCTCCTCCTCCTCTGTCTCCTTCTCCTACTCTTCATCCTCCTGCTCCTCATCTCATTCCGAAGGAGGAGGAGGAGGAAGAGGATGATAAACATTGATTTGCCATTATTGATAAGGCCGCAGTCCGTCAATCAGATCGCCGAACACACACATAGTGTCCAATTATTGGAGCGGAGTTCAAGACCTAGCCCGGTTAAGCCCCAGGAGGCCGCAGGAAACCAGAGGACCCAGGCTTGCCGACGGTATGCCAGGACTGCTTTTAAGGAAGGATGAGGCGGACGAGAAGGATCACTTTGGGGAACAGGCCGCCCCCCTTGATTCCTCGCGCCCCATTGTGCGGGTTGTCGCTCTTCCGAGTCCGACCCGGGAGGGTTCGGCGCAACGCGTTGGTTCCCACAGCGGTTGCCCCAGCATCTTGTGGCTAGCAGTATTTCAATGTGTTCTGTCGTTCGCAATTAGTCTCACCTTGTTTGGTACCGAGCGGCTGTCGGCTAGTCTTGCCCACTTGCTTGGTGTGCTGGTCAAGGCCTCAGGGATACAGCACGGCGTGGTTTGGCCATACTCCTGACGAGTGATTTGCCCCTTAGCCCGGAACATGGCTAGGAACAGTGTTGTGGTGACCTCGCGACCCCTGTGCGCCCGACGTGTCTGTGGCGCTGCTTGATCGCCATCCACCTCCTCATCTCCCCTCCTGGCCCTCTGGGGTCCGTTGGCGAGGCAAGCGCTGACCATGCAGCTGCAGATCCTCACCAGGGCCAGATATGGCGAGGGCTCGCAGCCCAATGCGTGGGGTCCCTCCGCCTGCTGACATCAGCACCACCCTCGACGAGCTCCGCTTCGCTCGTTCTCGATATGCTGTGCCATCGTCAGAGCGAAGAAGGATGTACATCGGAGTGCAGTGTGACGTGATTGTTGACGCCTCGCGAATCCGCACCAGCCCATCCAGAAACGATGCCCAGAGGAATTGCCTGGATCAGGGAAGTGGGCAGTGCACAGGGGAAGCCATTATGATATCTTGAGCCATCTGGGAGGTCATCTTGGGCTCTCCCAGGCGCTCTTGGAGTCACCTCAATCAGAGCTCCCCCCAATGTGGCTAAAACCTTCGTGAAATCAATGATTTGGCATTCTCGCCGAGGCCTCTTGGAGCATCTTGTGTGCCTCTGGGGGGTCTCGTGGGGGTCTCTTGGGGGCCTCTTGGGGGTCTCTTGGGGGCCTCCCGGGGGCCTCTCGGGGGCCTTTTGGGGCCATTTTGGGGCCATCTTGGGACCTCTTGGGGCCTCCTGGGCGCTTCTTGGGGCCATCGTGGAGGAGATCGATCAAACAAGAGGGGAGTATTAATTAGCGTCCCCCCCCCCAGCTGGCCAACATGGGGCCAAAACCCTAGTAAAATAACTGATGGTGGCTTCCTCGCCGAGGCCGTGTTGGCATTCTCGCCGAGGCCTCTGGGAGCATCTTGGGTGTTTCTGGGGGGTCTCTTGGGGCCTCTTGGGGGTCTCTTGAGGTCTGGGGGCTTCTTGGGGCCATCCTGGAACCCCTTGGGACCTCCTTGGCGCTTCTTGGGGCCATCTTGAAGGAGATCGATTAAATAAGAGGGGAGCATTAATTCGCGTCCCCCCACCCCCCCCCCAGGGACCAACATGGGGCCCAAACCTTGGTACAACCAATGATTTTGGCTTCCTCGCCGAGGCCGTTTTGGCATCTTGGGTGCTTCTGGGGGGTCTCTTGGGGCCTCTTGGGGGTCTCTTGGGGGCCTCCTGGAGGCGTCTTGGGGGCTCTTTGGGCCATCTTGGGGCCATCTTGGGACCTCTCGGGCCCTCCTGGGCGCCTCTTAGGGCCATCTTGGAGGAGATCTATCAAAGAAGCGCGGAGCATTAATTAGCCTTGCCCCCCATGGGGCCAAACCCATAGTAAACTCAATGATTTTGGCTTCCTCGCCGAGGCAGTTTTGGACGCTCTGACACCTCGCGACCCCCCCCGCCCCCTCCAGGTCCACGGGCAGGGGGTAGGGGGAGGGGGGTAAACCCCTCCCCGAAGGGGAAGAAGGAGGGGTGGAAGAGGAAACGCCCTAAACCACCGACGCCCAGAGGGCTGGCGGGAATTCCCCTGATAGCTCAGGGTCCCCACGTGAGCCAACCGTGATCGCCACCGCGTGCAGGTTGGCGCACGTGGGCGCTTGCATCATGCACTGTGTCTGTCTATCTCTCGCTCTCTCTCTCTCTCTCTCTTTCTGTCTTCGTCTCCCACTCCATCGCTCTCTCTCTCTCTCTCTCTCCCTCTCCATCTCTCTCTCTGTATGTCTCCGTCTCCCACTCCATCGCTCTCGTTCTCTCTGCCTGTATCCGTCTCCCACTCCATCTCTCTATATTTCTCTCTTTCGTTCTCTCTCTCTCACTGTCTCTATATATATACATATATATATGAATAGATGTCTCTTGGTTTGTTTCGCTCTCTCTCTCGCTCTCTCTCCCCCTCTCTCTCTCATCTCTCCTCTCACTCCCTCTCTCACTCTCTCCTCTCTCTCTTCCCCCCCCCCCCCCCGTCTCTCCCCCTCCCCCTCTCCCTCCCCCTCTCGCTCTCCGAGGCACGGCACGCCGCTCTCTGCCTCCCCTGCGCGGCGGGCGAAGGCAAGGGCCACAAGGGAGGGCACGTGGCCCACGCCAGCCACGCCGCCATGGGGAAGCCGTCCTACCCGTGGCAGCAGGCCAAGGCCCACCTCCTCCCTCCTCCGCCTCCTCCTCCACCCCCTCCACCTCCTCCTCCACCCTCCA